CATAATACAGGTACTGAACATTTGATAATTTTCTGGTTGTTCACATTTTAGCTTTCTAGTAACATCACATTGTCTCCAGCTCAATCAGTCATGAAGAAGACTATGGACTCGAGTATATCATCTATCGCAACATCAGCTGCTAAGCATTTTAACTAATTCTGAAATGTTACAACTTTGTTTCATCTGATCTAGAATGACTAGCATTTTTTGTGTAGCTAGTAGCGACTGTTCTTCTTTGGTTATTTTAATTGATTATAGTTATATGATCAGTTTTAATGTATATACATACAATGACTTGCTGCTTAGGTTGAGTCATCCATACCTGCTGTGATAACTGAATCAATTTTATCAAGCATGAGATTGGCAGCCATGCTCAAGTTCAGAAACCCTGCATTTTGAAGATATATCAATGCATTGTAGACTAGGAAACTTTTATTGTCAGATTTTTCTAGGTCACTGGTGGTGGACCAATTCTGTTTAAACACTATGTTTGCAGTAGTCTAAATCAAGGATGGCCAAATGTCAGCTCACGAGCCTCATGCGGCTCTTGTTATGGTGGCTCGCGAGCTGCATACAGCTTTTTTCCAAATTGTTATATGCTAATATATTTCCATACAATTATTTCCATCATTCTTATTGTCATAAAACTTGCAAAAATGGATAAAATAAAAGTAAACACTAGTTTGCTTCGTAAAATAAGGAGGAATAGAAAAATTAAAGACGAAAACAGAATATTTCATAATGATTGGACAGAAAAATATGCATTTATTAAAAGAAACAATAAACCTATGTGTTTAAATTGCAATATAGAACTTGCTCATAATAAGACATGCAATATTAAACGTCATTATGAAACAAAACATAAACAAATTTGAATAATATCCCTTACGTTCAAATTACAGAAAGAATAAAATTGAATTGCTCAAAACAAAAAATAAAAATCAACAACTAAATATTTCATCTTACAGCCAAGAATCAATTAATACAACAGAAGCAAGTTTTGTTATAGCATAGAATGTCGCCAGAGGTAAACATCCTTATATCGTTGAAGAATTTGTATTACTAGGATCTAAAACCTGTTGGTTTTAGATCCTAGTAATAGCAAAATCCAAAGATTAGTATCACAAATTCCTCTTTCTTGACATACAACCGAAAGAAGAATATCTGAGATTTGTATTGATGTTGAACAGCAATTACTAAACGATTTAAAAAACTGTGAAGCATTTAGTTTAGCTGTAGATGAATCAACAGATATTCAAGACAAGCCTCAAATGGCTGTACTCGTTAGATATGTGACTTCAGACGTAATTGTAAAAGAAGAGTTACTAGATTTGGTTGAGTTAAAAGACACAACTCGTGGAGTTGATATCAAGGAAGCCCTTGACAAACCTCTGCTTAAAGCTAATGTACCTATCAACAAGCTTGTTAGTGTTGCTACAGATGGTGCATCAGCAATGGCTGCAAAACATTTAGGACTTATAGGCTTATTAAAAAGTGACCCTAAGTATCCAGAATTTATCCCAATTCATTGTGTTGTTCATCAAGAACATTTAGCTCCAAAACATTTGAACTTTCCGATTGTTTTTAAATCTGTTAAAAATTGTAAATTATATTCGAGCAAATGCAAAAAATCACAGACAGTTTAGAAACTTTATAAATGAATTGGATCTTGCTGACAAGCCAAATGACGTGTCATTTTTCTGTTCTGTAAGATGGCTTTCAAGTAGTGATGTTTTTTATAGATTTGTAGAACTATTAGAGCCAATTAAATGTTTTTTGATTGAAAAAGAAAAAAAGTTTAAAATCCTAGATGATATAAATTTTGTGCAAGATCTTTTATTTTTGACTGATATAATGCAACATTTAAAAAGTCTGAATTTGTTTTTCAGGGAAAAGTAAAAAATATATCTGATCTTGCACAAACGATATTTAGTTTTCAAAAAAAAAAATTATTCTTTTTCAGAAAGATCTTAGCTTGAAAAAATTTAATCATTTTCCTCAAATGAAGAAGATGATTACTTCTAATCATTCAATTCAGTATGATAATGATAAGATTGAATCATACTAGGACAAACTAAAGGATTTACAAAAAGACTTTCAAAAAAGGTTTAAAGATTTGCATGAACTAAAATCTTCTTTAGGATTTATAGTAAATCCTTTTTTAATTAATATTTAAGTAATAGCCGTCCGATTCCTCAAAAAATGCTTGAAGATATATCTCAATTTGAAATGGAACTATTAGATCTCCAAGAAGATCAAAATCTACTTGTGCTGCATAAAACAATAACTTTTATGGAATTTTGGAAGATAGTTCCGAGGTTAAGTATCCTCAACTAAAAAAGATTGCCATAAAATTCATTTCAATTTTTGGTTCAACGTATACATGTGAATCTTTATTCTCTACTATTAAATTTGTCAAATCAAAGTATCGTGCAAATCTAACCAGCGAGAGTTACTTAGAACAGCCACTACAAGTTTGAAACAAGATTTTAAGAAACTTACCAGTAAAGTTATGAGTATTAGTTTGATCAAAGTAAAAAATTGATAAAATGATGAAAAAGTTATTTCTTGATTGTAAAAATCAAGTAAGATAATCTAATTTTAGTGTTGTTTTTTAATTATTATTTCATTGATATAAGCATTGTTATAATTTTGTTAATTAAAAAAAAGTTTATGATCAGCATGTGTTTGTGCAAAAATGTTGTTATTGTTTATGATTAGCATGTGCTTGTGCAAAAATGTTGTGTTGCACAGCACATGGCCAGTGTGTGCAAAATCAGTGTGATCATGTGATTGTCCAAAATTATAGAAATGATTTTTTAGTCTGAAGGGAATTTTATAAAATAAATCAGATATAATGTCATTGTAAACAAAACCTTTGAAGGAATAGTTTTTTCTTTAAAAAATTTATTTAGTGTTTTAAAACAAATAACTAAATTCAATTGTATACATATTTTACTTAAATCTTTAAAAAAAGATTTTTTGTATCCAAGAAATATCTAAATGATATTGTTGAATAGTAATACAACAATTATTTCAACCCCTTGGGAGCACATGGAATTTTCTAAATAATTTTCTTTAAAAAATGATTTTAAATAGTGAATTACAAATTGTTATTTTTATATGAAACCAAGAAAATGGACTAGTACTATAAGTTTCTTTTTTTTTTCTTTTAATTTTTTTTTTTTTTTTTTTTTCTAATCTTTTTTTTACTTATCTAGTACAAAAGTCTCTTAAAATTCAGATTATAAAAAAGAAAGAGTATAAAAGTTTCTTATATAAAAAAACAAACATGAAGTTGTTGCGGCTCTTCGGCTCACGTAAGTATATAAGTGTGGCTCTTGTGACAAAACGTCTGGCCAGCGCTAGTCTAAATGATTCTAATGAGATCATACCTGCTCACCTTGTAGTCTGCAATGCAACATCCTATTATTCATTCATCAATAATGACCAGTTCAAATCTTTATTTTTTAGAATAAACAAAGAGCATACTGTTTGACAGTGCAGAGCAGCAAACTGTTGAGGTAGACAGCAATTGAAAATCTGATTTTAATCTTGTCACTGGAGATAATAGATTGGGTTCATCCAGATTCATAGTGAAAAGTTCAAACTCAAGATCGAAGTCACTGGGAGGACTACTGTCAAAATGGTTTGGTGATGCAGGATATGTCGCTTTTGTGCAGTTTGGTGGTCATCAAGCAGTTGTGTTTTTTTCTCAGCTGTCTCAAGAGACTGGCAGCCTGTTCAGACAGAGTCTTATGTCCTGGTTTTGTTGTGCACATATGAAACATTCAACATAGTAAGCGTTCTCCAGTCTGGAGTTTAGGCAGAGTGATGAATTTTTTTGTTCGTTGCAAACTTTATAGCATTTTACAACATGATCACTCCTTTTATTTATTGTGTTTGTTGAATCCATGAAGCAAATTTTTTAATTATGATAACTTCTAGCGCAGTAATAATTATTTTATACATTTAGGAGATGCGGTGCAATAGCACAAAAATGAGAAAAAATAACATGTTTTTTTTTTTAGATTACACTTTTTTAGATTACTAGTATTTTATATAATATTTGATAGATTTTTATACAAAAAAATTTAATATGTAATCTTTTCATATTTTTTAAAAATAAATCTCTACTTATTCAACTTTTATTAATGCTAACTCATTTTTACAGTAAACTTTGTATAAACAATATTTTGTTGCTTAGTTAAATTTAATCAAAGGAGTGATTAGTGAGAAATATAGCATTGCCTTTGCTAGTCAGATAGCCTTGCTAAGTCAGATAGTTGACTTTGTATCTCCTTTCATATAGCAGTCGGTAGCATGTATGTAAATTGTTACAGGATTTTAAAATAATGGTTTTTTTCTTGTTTGATATTATTAAAATTAATACATCAAAAGCGCATATTGGTTATAACTTATCCACTGTCATTTAAATTGTACACAATTTACTGTAAAAACATCATCAGAAATCCATATTTAACTAAAAATGCAATAACTCAATCAATTTAACTGCACTTGTTAAATTAAGATAATCAAAAGAGTGTTGTAAGATGACATTGCAAAAAAAGCAAACATGATTTAAATGTTCAAAATAAAGATAAGCAGAAAATAGTCTCCTAGCAGCAAATCTACCAAGAAAACCAAACATAGTACAAAAATTGTCTTGATGTTTATGCCAAAGCTTCAACGTGTAAAAACATTTGATTGTATAAATGTCAAGATTTAAAATGCAGGTAGGAATTAGCAAAGTTGTTTACAAAATTGCCATGTATTTTGGGATGTTTTAAGTATATTTTATGCAAATTAGTGCTCTTTTCTCTATTTCTGATAATAAAACATGTTTTGCTTTATGTTTTATTAACAGAAATAGAGAAAAGAGCACTAGTTTGCATAAAATATACTTAAAGTCACAATAATATATATCCAATAATATTGGAGTGATAAAAATATTTATTAAAATAATGAAAAAAAAAAAAAAATGAACTTATTAAAAATACCTCTACTCTCTGTTTGTGTGTCTTGGAAGCTTTTTTTAGAATTCTCTCGGAAGCCTAGAGTAAAAATTTAATTTATAATTATAAACTTATTAAATTTTAGTTTATTAACTTATTAAAAGCAATTGTATGTATGGCTTAGGACCAGCACAGATTAACTATATACTTTTAGACAGATATGGTAATTAAAACAAACAAACCAGTATGTTGAGACATTCTAAAATTTTCAAACCAATTTTTTAATTAAATTTAAGAAAAACTGAAATCAAATTAAAAAAAATTAATAGATAATAATAGATAAACATATTTCATTATTGACACTCCTTAACCTTCTATTACCTCCTTAACCTCCCATTACCTCCTTAACCTTCTTATAGTGACTGACATAAAAAACCTCCTTAACTAGAGTATTAGTTAACATAAAAAAAATTTCAATTTCTTAAAAACCATTACTAAACAACCTTTTCTAAAAACATCTACTTAATCCTATATAAAACACTAAACCTCAATTTACTTTACTAGAATAAGGTTTTTAGTAACAATCGTAGTAGTGTCACACTAGTGACTGACATAAATTGTATATAAAACAAAGGACATTGTGGGACACAATTTTGTGTCAATTGACATGTGCCTCATAACTAACAAATATTATCAACATAAGCTGTCTAACATTTTACATAAAGAAATTGAAACGCTTTTTAAAAAGTTAACATTGCTGTTGAAAAAGTTTTCAAAAAACAAATTGTTATACACATGACAACAAGCATAATAATATAATATTCCTCCATTCTGAAATACTGTTCAAATTTGCATTCAACATAAAGAATTATTGAAATTAATTTTTTAATTAAAACCTTATTGTTGTTAATTTCTTTTCTTTTTTTTTATATAAAACTAATTACTTTTAAACATTTTAAACATTCAATACTAATAGATTACCAAAAGTTCGAAATGTTCACAAAAAATTAATTTTATAAAAGAAATTTAAAAAATTAGCAATAATTTATTTCCAATAATTCTTTATGTTAAATGCAAATTGGAACAGTATTTTTAAACGGAGGGAATAGCTTTAAATATTAAAATAAGTTAGCAATCTAGTAGAAAACCGTATGCTTTATATATAAAGGTAAAGAGTTCAAACCCAAAGGGGTAAAGAGTTCAAACCCCATGTCCCTAAGAGTACTGCATTCAGTTTATTTCTGTGTGCAGCAGCCTTGCTTATCAGAGTTTGTATTTCAGAGTTATAGTCAAGAAAGAAGAATAACAATTATAATTTATAATTTTAAGTAAATAATTTACAAATTGCGGGGTAAAGCATAAATAGCAATGATGTTTATCTGACAGGATAAACTAGGTATTGGTGCTGAGCCTTTTTGAAATGCCAGAGGTTGTTTTTTGCTGTTATTGTTTTGCTTGTAAATTTCTGTTACAATAATTAAGTAAATGGTTGTACCAAATGCAATATCATTGCAACCATATTGCAACTTATACTTATAATGTAATGAGCTTTATCTAACTCAAGCCCAGATTTAGGCATGGGCCAGTGTGCCATGGCAGAGGGACCCCACCAACCAAAAAAGAAAAATGTTTTTATTAACAACTTGATCAAAGTAGACACTAGATTTTATCTTTACAAAAAATTTTATTATAAAAAATAAATTTTATCAGGAAAAAATAAGTTTTTAATATACACTTTTATGATTATTGTAAAAGAAAGTTGTATGTAAATTGCATATGTAAGTTGTGTCTATGCACCAGTAGTGGTTTGGCTAATTACCTAATGTTGATGCATTAGCCAATGCTAATTAATCGACTTAAATAATCAGCCAATTATTCTGTCGATAGTTAAGCCGATTATTTGGCAATGATCGACATTGGCTAAAAGGCCAAACCACTACTGGTGTATAGGTACAATTTATATATGCAAATTATATACCTAATATTTATATATTACCAGCAGTACTGCGTAGTAGTTAATCATAAAACTCACTTTTTTGTTTTACAGAAAACTTGCAAAACTATAAAAAGTTAACACCTACAATAGGAAGTAAACTTGCTTATCTGTTACAGATAAATAAAAGTTATTCAAATCGTGACCTAGTTTAGACAGTTATAGGCTTTTCTCACTTTCTTTTTCAATAAACTAGTTTACAGCAATCTTAAGTATCAAATATATATCTTAAATATCAAATATAAAATTAACATACTAAAAAGGAGTAAACTAAATATAAACAAGACATAAATAACAAAATCGAATATAACAAATTTAAGCAAAAAACCAAAAACAAATATCTTAACAATAATATAGCACCAACAAAAAAATGACATCCAAAAAATCAACACAAAATAACATGTTAACCAGGAAAAATGAAAAACTAGAATTGGAAATCTGAATAAGTATACAAAAACTATAAACAAAATAAACAATTAACTATAAACAATTGAAATGTTAAAAACTAAGCACTCCTTTTATAAACAAAACTTATGTAGTTGAATATCAGATCAATAACCTAAATGATTGTTAATTAAATGATTGTTAGAAATTGATGAAATATATAAAATAAACAAGATGACAAACATGGCCAAATGACAAACTAGCCTTATCTGCTTAATCAAAGTTAAAATAAAAACTGAGGAGACTTTATAAACTGCATTGAATATTTGTTGTTTTTTTAAAAAAAACATTTTCTATATTAAAGATAAGGTCACTTGGATAAGAATTTTTTCAAATTGTCGATTTTTTTTTTTTGATTTGAACTTTTTTTATCAGTTTTTTAGTAACTTTAGTTAAGTTTAATACACAATAATACATTAGATATTGATGTTTATCATTATTGTTAATTGTTAAATTATTTGTAAATCTATTTATCTGCTTTATATTTTCTTACAACATTAAAAGATTTTGTAACGTAAACGTTGATGCAGACTTGAAAGTAAAATTGTTAAATACTATAAGTGAATAACCCTTTTACTGTCTATAAGTTCTTGAGCTCCATTATTATCTAAAACATCAAAAGATGAACCAAGCTTGCAAACAAATATTGTCAAGTCAGAATTTACCTGCTTTCATTGGTTTGAGTTATATTTCTGAATTTATTTATTTGATTTCTGATTTTCAAATAAATTCATCAACTGTTATTACTTTTGGCTATTTTGTTTCTTTTTTGTAATTTAATTTATATTTTGTAAGCACTTTTCTAATTTTAGCAAATGTTCCTTGGAAGATGTTTGGGTTTGACATTAGTAGTTGTAAAATACTAATGTCAAAACAAAATAAATTAGTATTAGTAAAATACTAGTGTCAAAAATACTAATGACACTAGTATTTGTAAAAGTAATGCTATGGTAACACTTATGCAATTAGAAGCAAATTTTGCACTTATTTTCAAACCAGATTTTTAAAAGGTTTTTCATTTGGTTCAATTTAATTTTTTTCAAATTCAATATAACTTGATTGTTTTTATTTGAATTACTTTTTTTTGTTTGACTTTAAATAAATAAACAGTTAGGTTAACCATGCGGCCTTTGTAAAAATGGCAATGAGCTGAAGATGCATATTTTCCTTCAAATACCTGGACAGATAAATGAGTGATATCAATTGATTATCAGCCGTTTAAGGTCATGCACTATTTAGGGAAATATTGTAATTTAAAACTAGTGTCATTTAGAGTTGACAAGTATTACAAAAAGTTTCCCAAAAGACAAAATTTTCCCAATAAAGTTGCGCCCTTTAAATCTATCACAATCTATCAAAAATCTATCATTCTCATATTTGATAGTATCAATATTAATAACTATTAGCAATGTTTAGAGTCTGTAACAAGAAAAAAAAATTTTATGGCCCACCCTTATATATATATATATATATATATACATATATATATATATATATATATATATATATATATATATATATATATATATACATATATATATATATACATATATATATATATATATATATATATATATATTTATATATATATATACATATATATATATATATTTATATATATATATATATATAATATATATATATATATATATATATATATATATATATATATATATATATATATATATATATATATATATAAAATAGTCTTTTCCGTTTAAAATGTATTGCAAGCGCACAATAAAGCGCTGGTAGGAAGGTCTTTTTTAAGTTAGCTTGCATGATTTAAAAAATTCATTTTTTTTTTGCTATTTATATAAAAATAAAAATAGCAAAAAAATGCTTTGAATAAATACTAGATATATTAATAAAAAAAAAACTTGTTAAAAAAGCTTTTCTCATAAAAGTTGAACAAACAAACAAAAATTTTTTTTTATTGCAATTAAAAAAAAAAATTTAATTTTTTTTTGCAAGCTTTTTTTTATGCTTTTATTTATTTACAAAATGATTCATACTTTTTAATTTTTTACTTTTAGTAATAAGGTTTTAACTGGTATGCAGTAAAATCTAAATTAATAATTTTTTTCATAAAATGATTATTATATTTTTAACTTTTATATAATTTTCCTCCATTTGATAACCAACAGGACATATTTTAGAAAAACTTAATTTTTATTAATATTAGGGGTCCACTAAATGTTTAAGAGTTTAAAGGCACCCCTAAATTTTTTTTTTATTTAAAACACTTTCAAATGCAGTGTTATTTATCATAAAGATCATTTTAAGATGTGAGCTGCAAAAATTTTTCAAAAATGCACTCGCCAAAGTTTTTGTGGGCGTGTGGGCAAGCACGAAAAGACTTGAGCGTGAAAGCACTGACTAAATGGAGAAGACTGATATACATACATATATATATATATATATATATATATATATATATATATATATATATATATATATATATATATATATATATATATATATATATATATATATATATATATATATATATATATTTATACATATATATATATATATATATATATATATATATATATATATATATATATATATATATATATATATATATATATATATATATATATATATATATATATCTATATATATATATATTTATACATACATATATATATATATATATATATATATATATATATATATATATATATATATATATATATTTATACATATATATATATATATATATATATATATATATATATATATATATTTATACATATATATATATATATATATATATATATATATATATATATATATATGTATATATATATATATATATATATATATATATATACATATATATACAGCACTTAAAATAGTTTTTCAAAGCTTACCGATCAAATATAATTTTTTCATTAAAACTGGTTTTCTCTTAAATTTTTCGAAATTATCCTATTTAGGATCAATAATCGGCTATTTTTAAAAATAGCCGATTATTGATCCTTATATATATATATATATATATATATATATATATATATATATATATATATATATATATATATATATAGGCATTTCCAAAAAATCACGCACGGAAACTCGTATATGTTTTTACTTTTATTTTCATAAAAATAAAACTAGCAATCTCCAATTTACTCTCATTTAATTCTAATTAATATAAATATTTTGTAAACAAATAATAGTAAGCATTAGTAATGTTAACAAAGAATAAATAAAGTTTGAAATGGAATCACGCACGGAACAGAAAAACTTCTATTTTAGTTACTAGATAAATAAACTTTAATTCCTCGGACAATATAAGTTTCACCCGTATACTTTTTTTAAAAAAATAGTATTTTAAACATTAGTAAAGATTTCCAGAAAGTTACAGGATTGCACTATGAATCATAGAGTCACAGCAATCGTTTAAATGCAGTTTATGAATGATCACGCACGGAAGTCACGCAGGGATGTTGCAAATTTGTCAATTTCATGTAGTTATTTTTATGAAAATAAATTGCTTGTGAGTATTTCAAGTGAAATATTATACTTCTGCGACTCATATTTAATATATTTTCGATGAGAAACGGCAGTCATCAATTATTTCTAGCTAGAGTATGGCGTTTTGAAAATTATTGTATATTTTTCAAAATTTAGTGATATTATTACTCAAAAAAATAAAATTGTAAAAATGTGTATATTTAATTTGTTCAGATAGCCTAAAATATGATAAAAATATTTTTGTTATAATTGTTCTTTAAGAAAATCAAAATAGTATAGCTGGGACTTTATGCATATTGCATAAAGTCCCAGCTTTTAATTGCTAAAACAAAGAAAAATAAAAAACCACGCACACAAATGGAAATGCCCTATATATATATATATATATATATATATATATATATATATATATATATATATATATATATATATATATATATATATACATACACACACAAAAACCCACACAAACCCACACACACACACACACACACACACACACACACACACACACACACACACACACACACACACACACACACACACACACATATACAAAAACTAAATTTAGCTTTAGAAAATGTCCTGACAAATCACTTATTTTTCAAATGAAAACTATTCAATTTCAATTAAAGTAAAAACTATCCACACAAATTTTGATAACACCTTACAATTAACAAAAACTATAAACTCACTCTCTTTTCCTGTGCTTTTTCGAAAGCTAACTCCGCAGCAGTCTTTTTAACAGATGCTCCACCATCTTGTTTGCTTGACGTCCTAGCTGATAGTGTTGCTTCTAAAGTTTCTTTTGATATGTTCTTTTTGCTCTTTTTTTTCCTATAAATTTTTATTTCATAAATGTAACAAATATTAAAATTATATAAAAAATATTACAAAACATGTTTTTCAATACTTATATAAAACATATTTTGTCACAATTGCATTTTTTGTAACTGCACTGATTTTACTAAATTTTTTAATTGAAATTATTTTAAAGCTCCTATTTCAGAAAATATTAGTCAATTTTGCTCCTTAAATACCTAGCATTTTGATTCAATAACAGAACCTCATAAAATGTTATATTTTGATATATAACATATATCAAAAGACTATTTTTTGATATATGTTAGGGTGTTTCAAAAAACAATATTTTTGAAAAATATCTGCAGCTCGTATCTTAATGTGTTCTTTATTATAAAATAACACTGCATATGAAAGTTTTTTAAATAAAATTTTTTTAAGGGGCGCCTGAAGACCCTTGAACATTTAACAGGCCCCTAATATAGACAAAAATAATTTTTTAAAAAGTTTATCTTGTTGGGTCTCAAATCAAGGAAAATTATATAAAAATTTCAAAAAAAATCCTTTTATAAAAAAAAAAAAAAAACAGAAAAAAAAAATTATAATTAAAAAATCTTGTTAAATTTCCTTTTTTTTATTTTTATTTAAAAAAAAGTCATTTTTTTGTTTACTAAAATCTAAAATAATAATTTATATATATATATATATATATATATATATATATATATATATATATATATATATATATATATATTGGAAAATTACTAAATTCAAATATTACTTGATTACTTTGCTGCCACCTGCTATTTTTAACTTCAATCCACCGCCAGAAACACCTTCGTAAGGATCATCTGCCATTATTTTATATATCTACTTGGTTTAAAAAATCATTTATATACCTTTTAATAAAATAAAAGCAACAGCAATAAAAACAAAAAATTAACAATTAACAATTTTCAACCAATAACATTTATTAGTAGTTGGTAATAATTATTACCACCCCTAGTAGTACTACGGGTGGTAAATGATTAATGATAAATCAGTTTATAAAAATTAATTGTTGATCAATTAATTAGTTGTAGTTTAATGAATTTAATAGTCTGTAATTAATTCTAAGCCAACATAGAAGGCTTTATTATATAATATATAATAATATGTTAATTAAAATATAGGCTCTGGGGAAGGAATTGTATCAGGTTCATTGTAGTTATCTTTGCAGTTATTATTTCCGTCACTATCACTGATTATTTCAGCCATTGGTGCAAGATGTCTAGTAGCAACAGTGGTCTCACGTCCATCAGGCATTCTTACATGAGAGTATTTACTATTAGCCTCTAAAAATTCAATCTCTTCAACCCGAGGTTCATATTTGCTGTGTTGAACATGCCTTTTAAGCAATACAGGAACCGAATTAGTTAACCGTAGGAACAGATCGTCCATTAGAAGAATTTTGACTGAATCCGAATAATTACTTGTGAGGTGTAGCGTTAGTAGAAGTACAATGTAAGGAATGCATTGAATGAAGGACTTCGAGTAAAACATGTTCCCATTTCCAAATCACACTGACCATTACCCTGAGGATTATAAGGAGTAGTTCTACTCAGGTTGATACCTCAAGAGTTAAGAAAATTGTGAAGCTTTGTTTACATGAAGCAAGTGCCTCGATCTGAATGTATACAAGCTGGCATACCAAAAAAAGTGAAAAGTTGAGTTAAACATTTAATTACAGTTGAAGTAGAGATATCATGACAAAGAAATAGAAAGGGAAATTTGATCAACAACTCATCAACAACTGTTAAAAAATGTTTTTTGCTAGATGAAGACGGAGTAGGTCCTTTAAAATCCATGCCTAGTCACTCAAAAGGTTGAGTAGATTTTATTAAGGTGTGGTTAAAATTGCTTACATAGTATTTAGGTTTTAATTCAGCACAAATTTAACACAAAGAAATGTTTTTTTTTATACCATCAATTGAGAAAGGCAGATTTTTCAATTTTTTAAAATGATACATTCTGGTGATTCCAGGGTGGCAAAGAGATTTGTGTAGATCCTTAAGAAAGCAACAAGATCTAGAGAAAGTTTCAGTAACGGAATTGTTATGTAGACAATATAAACTTTTCTTCATTGAACGTAAACATTGCTTTCTTAGAAACTGCAAGAAATTTTTTAAATTGAAATCATGTTTATTTTTGTTTAGTTTTTTCTAAATAACTTGCTTGTATGTACCACATACAAGCAAGTTATTTAGATATACAAAGGTGTCTTCTAATTTGTTTCTTTGAATAAACTTATCCATGATTCTTTGAAATTGCGCAACAGTATTAGTGAGGCCAAAAAGAATTCTTTTAAATTGGAAAAGATATCCATTGGACTCAAAGGCAGTAAAATACTTGTCACTAACTAGAAGTTGTATCTGGTGATAAACACTTTTTAAATCAAATGTGCTAAATAATGAATATTTTGCAACAGAGTTAACTAATTCATTGATGTTAGGTAAAAGATATCAAGTAGTGTAAAGCATCAAGTAGTGTAAAGCAATTTATTGTTTGTGAGTAATCAATGACCATGCGTTTCTTATGCCTTTCATTCCTAGTAACTACTATATGATTGCTAAGGAGAGTTACTGGGTTCAATTATATCTAATTCCAAAAGTTTTTTATTTATTTGCTCAATAAATACTTTGTCATCTGAGTTATATCGTCTAGAAGGTGAAGCAATTGTTCTACATTCTTGAGATAGAAAAGAGAAAAGAGTGCTAGCTTTATTGTAATACTATTTAGAGAACAGATTTTTTAAGGATCTTTTTTACCACCATAATTGATATGAAGACTTTTGTGCAACTGTAGGAAATCTCTACCAAGTATGATTTGTAAGCAAAAGTTGGGTATAACCAAAAAGTTATTATAAGAGTACTTCATAGCAAAAAAAGTGAAGTTAGTTAAAACTTTACTTATAATTTGACAAAATAAGGAAGGATCAGCCATAAAGACTGTTTTGTTAGAAGGGAGTATATTAAGTTTTAAAGAGTCACATAATGATTTGCTTATAAATGTATCAGAGCTTTCAGTATCAAGAAGAGCTCTGCCGTAGCCTTAGAAATAAAGATATAAATAATACAATTGAGGGAGTTGATAGAAGAGCAAGTAATCGATGCTAAACTTGGCGCGTGGAAGTTAGCAGCAGCAGACATGACAAAGTTCTTTGATGATATGTATACTTTTTTGAAATATCCTTTCTTACCACAATTGTTACATTATTTGTTTCTGACAGGACATGATTGTTGAGGGTGACATTTACTTCCTCAGAAATAACAAAGTCCACTAGGCTTAGTAGAAACTGAAGCAAGCTCAGTAATATATTCAGAATGTTTATTAATTGTAGCAACATTACTATACTCTGTATGTGAACACATTTTATTATTTTTTGAGCGTTTTCCAATGAATGAGTGAGTTTTTATTATACAATAATTGATAAAAGTTTTCCAATGAACGATAAATAATTATAGGCCTCAGCAAGTTTAAGACTAGAGTTTTTTAGTAGTCAATGGCGAATATGATGAGAGCTTAGACCACTTAATAATGAAGCATGAATGTATTCTTCGCAACTTTCTGAAGTAGAAACTTGTTTGAAGTTGCAATCTTTACTAAGTGTACATAAGGCCTGTAAAAACTCATCAATAGATTCTCTGGATAAATGTTTACGTGAAGCTAACTGAAGTCTGAAAAATAATTCATTTTTAGGTTTTACAAATATGTTTTCCAGGATTTCTATAGCGCCATCAAATAATTCAATGTCAGCAATATAGTTGAACACGGAAGGAGTTAAATAGTTAATGAGGATATCTAATATATCTTCTGTTTGTAAAGCTTTCGTGAAGTTTGTAAAAGTTCTAAACCAGTGTAACCATTCTTTAGAAACTGATGCAGAGTTGGGATTGCTGTCAAATCGTTTCGGTCTTAGATATTTATCCATTAAAACATGAAGAATAAATTGTAGAATAAATTGTGGTGTAGCGAATTTAATAGTTTGTAATTAATTCTAAGCCAACATAGAAGGCTTTATTCTTCATATAATACAGTTGAATTATGTCACTTTGTTGTCTTTTTTTAACTCGTTAGGGCATTTTAAGACAAACTAGTCAATTTTCAGAGCATAATATATTGATTGAAGGTATTAATTTAGTGGCAGGACGTTGTATTCTTTCTAAATGGCAATACCTCGTTTTTTATTAGGAGCCCATACTAAGCCTATACCCATACTAATTAACAAACGATTAATTTTTTGCTTTGATATGCTATAATTGTTATAGTTTTTTTTTATTAACCCTTTGTTATTATAATAAAAATATTTTTAAGAATCAATAACAACTGTTTTCACTTTTCCAGTACCGGTAAAAAAAATGTAAACAAATAAAACAATGCGGCCGTAGCCTTAACGCCATTTACAATGTCGTCTGGAAAAGGTCGTTTTTACGTTTGGAACACTGATCTCTATAATAATAGTTATTATAGAGATCAGTGGTTTAATAATAGTTATTATAGAGATCAGTGGATCTCTATAATAATAGTTATTATAGAGATCAGTGGTTTGGAAGCATTTTTCATTGGAAAACAAAGCGAAATCATTATACAAATCAAGGTGACCATACGTACGCGTTTGGCGCGTACAGTAAGCGTTTGACGGTAGTTTTGCGCGTTAGGGAATTGTACGCGTTTGTGAACGCGTTTATATATTTAAAAAAAGCAAACAAAATTCCTTCAAAAAATATTCTTTGAAAGACTTTTAAATTAAATGAAAATTCTAAAATATAGTTAAAAAACAAAATGAATAAAATTCCTATAAACTTAACTTTAAAACATTAAATTAAATAAGTTGAAATTGAATCGAAACTAAAATAAAAATGAATGAAAGTCGAAACTAAATGAATTAAATTAAAAACATAAAAAAAAAAGTTTTTAAAATTTCCATTAGAGAAGAAAAAAAATTACCTTGAAAGATTTTTTTAATCACAACAAAGAAAATGCGCTCGTTTTACGCAAATTTTGTTTCCCTTATAATGTCTTTTTTCCCTAATTATTGTAAATAACGCTTTGCATTTATTTTAATGAGACATTCATAAAAATTAATGTTCATAAGAAAGTAATTTAAGGTGTTTTTGACTATTTATACATCAAATTCGAAAAATGAGTAGTAAAAAGAGAAGGTTAAACATATTTTAATTATAATTTAAAGAAAATGTTTCCTTTCTTAACTCAGATCATAGATGACCTTCTCAAATGTACTATTTGTCAAAGCCTATTTGACATTAGTAGTCGTGGACGGTCTGACATTAAAGATCATTGCAAATCTATTAAACACAAAATGGAGTTGGTTGCTTCTATATTGTCAAACAAAATCACAAAGTTGATGAAGAGTCAGAGTTTTGGTCAAAATGAAAAAATATTAATCATTCAAGAAGGAACAACTGCATTCCACACAATCAAGTACAACCATAGCATTAGGATTCATTCAATCATGCTGATTGCACATCAAAGCTAATTAAGAAATTTTGTAATCCAAGATTACAAAATTTCTTAATTAAATAATTAAAATTTCTTATGCGCGTTTACAATTATTGCTTCATATTTTGTACGCGCACAAGAAATTTTAATTAAATAATTAATCTTGTGCGCGTACAAAATATGAAGCAATAATTGTAAACGCGTTGAAGAAATATTATGAAACCACTTTAATAAAAGCATCATATGCGTCAACTCTTTTTGATGCATCAAACCACAAAGACGTTAAAATGTATACAATTTTGGCTCGTTATTTTGGTGTTAAAGAGGAAGTGCAAATTCAGCTGATTAACATGGATTGTATAAATGGAAAAACATCATTTATTTTATCAGAAGTTATCTTTAAATGCATTAGTACTTACAATATTCCTTTAAAAGTTTTGACTATTTGTGCAGACAGCATCAATACCAATATTTGGGGTTTAAAACGAAACGGTAATAACAATATTCACAAAAAATTGATCGTTAAGCTAAACCGTAAAGTTATTGGTATCGGTTGCGTTTTCAATAAAGAAAAGGGTGAAATAGTATTGTTTTTTGTTCACAGTCAAGTCAATGTTCTTTAAAACACGGTAAGAAAAAATTGAGAAAGATGGCATTTCTGCTGCTGAAGTTTCCATAGTATTAAAGGATTTGAAAGACCAGACAAAAACTAAAAAAGAAGAAAAATTTCTACCTTTCATAGTAAGACAGCGTTTGCAAGTTAACGAAGAAAGTAGTCATCATTTGAAAAACTAATTTCTGAAAGAAGAAGAAATATTCTACAGTGTCTGTCTAGAGTATGTAGATGAGTGGAAGCGTCACTTTAATCAGGTTGAAGTTTTTAAATGGTCTTTACTTAACTGTAAAGTTAAATGGATTGAAATTATTGAAACGATAACTTTTTTGAAAAAATCAATAGAAACCACATTCGATGATAATGAATTTTTATTGCACAAAGGAAAAGTTATCTTCTTCGAGTTATTTTCACAGTCTGTTAAATGTGACAAGCAATGGTTTAAAATTTTTTCTCATTTCGAAAATAACAACGTTCCTTATAGCAATTTGTTAAAATTAGTATAAGCCGCTCTACGTTTGCCAGGCACAAACACTTCCGTAGAGCAATTGTTTTCAAATGCCAATGGTATTTGGGCGGAAGGAAAATCCAAACTCACCATGAAAACTTTGGCAGCTATTTTGTTTGTAAAAATTAATATAAGAAAATATTGCTGCTCACAATTTGCTAAAGAAATTTAAAAAGACTACATGTTGCTGGAAACATTTCATTCTTATGAAAAATATTTGTGATTTAAAAACGCAAATATTTTTTAATAATTTTTCCATAAATTAGTTTCTTCACATGCTATTTTAAAATAAATAAACGAGTTTTTAGTAAAACCCATTCAAAACAGGCCCGTTAGCAGCAGCTAACAGCAGTTCATAGCAGAGCGGGAGCGAATTTAAAATAATTAAACGAGTTTTTTCTAAACCCCATTCAAACCAGGCCCGTAAGCAGGGCGGGAGCGAGGGGGCCACGTGATCCCCTGCGCTTTGTCCTGTTTGACCACTAAAAAATTGAAATTAAACATATATTCAAAAACTGTTAGTACAACACAAAAAAAGGGCAAGGCGAAACTGTCTTAAAATATAAAAAATATAAATAATCATTTTATGAAATTTATGCAAAATGTTATCAAAAAATAGGTTAATATAGACGCTAAAAAAATTCCCCTTGGGCGCCTTTACTTTTATTTTATTTTTGGCGTCTCTTAAAAAAATGCTCCCCTTTTAAATGAATGGTATTTAAATCAGGCTACGGGCCTGATTTAAATACCATTTTTATTTATACATACCAAATTTATTCCTTGTACGCGTCAGGTATTTTTCAAATATGGTCACCTTATACAAATGCGAACATTGTTCAGTCGAAATTAAATTCCATTCATCAATATCAAGTTTCTTATACCATTTAGAGCACAAACATAAAATTTTTCCGAGCAAAATTTTTTCAGAAAAGACAAATAATAGTATTATTTTTATAAATAAATTTATTTTTGTAACGATTGAAATATTTAAAAGAATGAAACTTTGATAGAGTGTGTTAAACCTTATACACAACCGAACACCCAACTTTAATATAGACATGTAATTTATCTAGTGATGCGGAATAAAATAATGACAACTTATTATACATAAACATTACCAATTTCATTAAAAAAGCACACAAACTCTTATATGAAAAAAAATGTGTACGTTTGTGAGGTGTAGGTGATGGATTGGACCCTCAGGGCCGTCCCGAGTGGGGTGTTGAGGTGTCTAGCCCCCCCAACGAATTTTATTAGTCGGCAAATTGGACACTGGAGTCGGCAAAATTGAATCAATGGTTGGCAGTTGGCAAATGTCGGAAAACTAGGACCTTTTTCTTTTTTTAGATAAGCTAGTGGGCAAAAAAAATATTTTTGGCTTTAGTCGGCAAAAAGCAGACACGTTAATTCCCCCCCCCCTCCTTTAAACTCTCTTTGGGACGGCCTTAGGCACCCCCTCCGGGTCTCTCGATGTTCCCTTTACCTAGAAACTAATTTGAAATTATAACACATTTTTACATCTATCTTTTGATGCCTAGTTATAGATATTTGAACATTAAATCGGCAAAGTTTATGTGAAAAAGATTTTTTTTTGGGCCACAGTTTTATCAAGAAATCCATATATCAAAAATTTTCTATTAAAAACGTCATAACTTTTTATAGAATTGTTTGATTTTCATAATTTTTTTACCTTTAAAATACTCTTAGAGCATTCTAATGATATATAACATTCAAGTATGTGATCAATTTTAAAAAATCAGTCAACGTACCTAGTTGCCAAGTGTTGCTGCCTACTGTAATAAAACAGGTATAAGAAAGCTGAAGACGTATTAGCTCGTTTAACAGCTGCAGATCGTACTTCTTTTGCAACTTAAGTAAAGATATTAAAAATGGCTGCAAAACTCAAAGACTTAAAATCCCGGATGAACAGCATGCTATAAAGGCAGCTGTTATGAACTACCAAAGCTCAGTAAAATTAAAAATTGCTCAAGAGCTTCAGCAAAAAAATAAAAAATTGGAAAATGTTTATCAATTTCTTTTGATAAGTGGACTTCAAGTGGAAATAGAAAGGTATTTGATCAGACAAATGTTCTTACGGTTTTGGAACGATTCGAATAAATTGTTCAATGCCTTTAGAAAAAGCAGTTAATATTGTTATTAAAAAGATAAATGATTTTGGCTTAAACTTGATAAATGATATCTTTGAGTGTGTTTCTGATGATGCATCAGCAGGGGCGGATTAGGCCACTGGGACACCGGGACATTTACCGGTGGGCCGTCAGCAATACAACATTTTAAATTTTCTAATATTTTAAAACGTATTTTCTTTAATTTTTTAAATAAATTTCTAGAATAGTAATAAAAAATTGTGAGTTGAAATTTACTTCAGATTTTGCTTTATTCAACTTTGTTTTCACTATAGATTATTGTTTAAATAAAACGAGTTAAATAAAAACGCGTTAAATAATTTATTATACTTATCTTATATAGAATTTTTAATTTAATGTTACGCTTCTTTTATAATATATTATTTCAATAAACATTTTCTAAATCAAAACAATATTATAAATATAATATAAAATATCTAACAAAAAAAGTAATTAGGTATTTATATAAATATTGGTTTTTTTATTAATATGGTATTTTACTATTTGAAATATAAAAGTAATCTATTTATATTTTATATAGTATGTATAATATTAATAAGAAATCCCTACACAGTTTATAAAAATAAATATGAATTATTTATTATTAATGAAGATGTAGGTTTATTTTAATAAATATGTAGGTTTAATAATAATGTAGGTAATAATAATGTAGATTTAATAAAATGTAGTTTTGTTTTAAAAAATATTAAAATTAGTATATTCTAAACTTTTAAGTTATACTCTTTAAAAATAATCCGATTAACAAACTTCACATAAACAACAATACAGTCGCAGGTCTTTCATTCATAACACTTATTTGAAAATAATCAATCATAGTAGTTAAAAGGCTAATACAAATGTTTATTTTTTTATTTTTTTACAGATGTGATGTCTAAGCGAAAAAGTGGACATGAAAAGTTACGTGAGAAAAACATAAAGCTTCTGCGAGAAGATGCTAAAACAACTAAAAATCTACTATCCATGTTTTCTAAACTGAATTCAAATACCCTGCAACACCATGCTGATGCTGAGCCTGTTGATGAGGTTCAATCTCACGTTGCTAAAGAGACCCAAACAAACCTTGATGATGAAGATGGCGTTCACTCTGACACTAATGAAATGACACAACCAATCCTCATTCTAAACATCACAGCTTCTTCAAGCATGGTTGAACATACTGGTAATAACGAAAAAACTACTACCCGAGTGAATGATTGGTTTAATAAGCCTCACCTGAATGAACTGACAACTTTCTATAAATATCACCCACATCAGCCTGAAACACGTCACTTTAATTCAAAAATGGTATATTATCGTCCTGAAGATGGTATGCAGCGTATGTTTCTTTCATTTTCAGAAGAAGAAGAGTGCCTGTTTTTCAGTGTTTGTTTGGCACATGGAAATGAGAAGCAGAAACCAAGTTCGTTTGTAACAGGTTTTAACAGTTGGACTCATATTCATCAACGTATTGTGGAACACGAATCGTCAAAGAGACACCAAGAATGTGTCGAGACTTATCTACATTTCTCTGCTAATCGAACCATTCTAGATATGGTAAAAAGATAGCAATATAGTCTACGAAAACAGCAAGTTTTACATCGTAGATTGATCGTGGACAGAATAGTGTCAATTTTCAAAGTGATTGGTAAACGTGGTATGCCATATCGAGGTAAGGCTGGTTGCGAAGCCGTCAATGTTTTGGCTAATGAAAAAGTGGATCATGGGACATTTCTTGAAATCGTGATTCTTGTCGCGAAGTACGATGAAATTCTAAAAGCGCATTTGAAGGAAATTATCGACAAAAGCTGAATAATAAACAGGATAAGAGGAAAAGAGCTAACAGAAATACTTACATTTCTAAATCCACTGTAAACCAAATTATATTAGGAATCGCTAAATTAATTAAAAGTGCCATTGCTGAAGAAGTACAACAAGCGGGAATATTCCCAGTGCAACTTGACACAACTCAAGATGTAACACAAGCGGATAAATGTGCGATAATCCTGCGATACGTTACCGACAAAGTTGAGGAGCGACTTATTGGTGTTGTCGATTCACATTCTGGAAAAGGCAGTGATCTGTGCAAATTGATGTCAAATGTTTTGGAACAAAATGGCATTGATATTAATAAATGTGTGTCAGATAGTACTAATGGAGCGTCTAATATGGCCGGGGTATAAAATGGGTTTACTACATTCTTAGAAAAAGCGTCTCCTGGACACACTCACACATGGTGTTATGCGCATGTTTTAAATATGGTCGTACACTTTTTGGTATACTTCAAAAGGCTGCTATGTTTTTTCGTGAGTCCTACTTGAGAATGGACCTTTGGACAGATCACATGAAAGAAAAAAATGGCCAAAACATTCACAAACGACTAAGTGTAATCGGTGCTACTAGATGGGGTCCAAACACGATGCCCTTCAAAAGTTTTTTGGTACGTTTTGCGACGGTGAAAGAGCATTATACACAGACGTTGTTCAAGTACTGGAAATAGCAGTCTCTTCCACTAAATTAAGTGTTGAAGCACGCTATGATGCGCAGTGTCTATTAACGTCCTTATTGAAGTATAAGACTGTACCGACGGAATTTGTATATCTAAGAATAATGGAAGCAACCACACCACTGTCCAAATACCTACAGACGTCTTGATTGAATTTTATAAAGTCGTTTGAGGTGTTTAAGTAACTATTTCAGAAATTCAGACTCAATCACGCAATTTTGATCAAGTTAAGGTGGCTGCAGACCATTTCATTAATGTGTCCGCAACCATTCTTGACGAGAAAGAATGTGATTGTGTTATACAGACAGATTTGCCAATGGTACGCAAAAGAATAAGAAAAGTAATTCCAGGAGAATTAGCAAATGATGATCCACTTACAGATCCTTTAAAAAAGTTTGAAGTAGAGGTCCACAATGGTATTCTAGACACAGTGTTAAGAAGTCTGTCGACTCGGTTTGCATCACACGGTGAACTGTACTCTGATATGAGTTGTTTTGACCCCAACGGATTTTCTGAGTTATTGGAATGTAATATTCAAAAAAAAGCCCTACAGAAAATCTGCTGTCATATTTCGGCAACAGGTGTGTAAATTTACTTAAAATATAATTGATTGGTTTCTTGTTAAATTTTATTAGTTATTGCTTAAGTATTTTTGTTTTTTAAATTGGTAAACTTCATTAAATTTTTAATTAGCATTAAATAAGGTTATCTCTTTTGTTCTTTATTTTGAATATTTATAAGATTATCTTTATCTTTTTATATTTTAGGCGAAGAAACGCAGCTGTTGCTTGAGCTGTTGGACTTTGCAAAAAAGTGGCCAGTTTTAAAAAAAACATTGGAAGAGAGTTACGATTGTTCTGATCAAATCAAGATTGATGAAGATGAGGTTGAAAATGAAGATGACGCCACCAACCATAAATGCGGCCCTCTAAAGAAGTGTCGCTCGTGCATTTACTGTTGCTACCATGTGCTTCGAAAATATAATCTTTACGGCAAGAGCTACTGCATGCTGCACAGGGCTTACAAATTCATGCTCACAATTTCAATTACCCAAGTGGCTTGTGAGAGGAGTTTCAGCAAGTTGAAATGTGATTGCGAAGTCAGTTGACAGAAGATCACTTGGACTCACTCTTGATGATGTGCATTGAAATGGACATATTGAGTAACATAACCAACGATGAAATTATTGATGAACTTGCTAAATCGAGTGGTGAATTAAAAAAGTTACTGTTTTTATGATTTTGAGTTTTTGTGATTTAAATATGAATTTATAAAACAAATATAACACATGTACTTAAATGACATCTTTATTGATTTTAAACAAGTGTATACAAGTCCTTATTGTTCAGTAGTGTTACAAAAGTATTTAAAAGTGAGGAGTTACAAGCGAATACGATTAAAAAAAAAGGTCACTTGGTGGGCCTTTTTCATGATAGCATTTCCCGGGCCTTTTCAAACGCCTAATCCTGTGCATCAGTCATGAAATTAATGGGCTGAGAAATAGTTACCCACCAACTTTGCTATTGCCACGGAATTTATCTTGCGGCACGTGATATTCTTTATAAGAAAAATGGTTCAGCAACAGAAACAACTGGAGAAGAACTAAATATAAAAAAGCTAAATAAAAATGAAGAATCTGAGACCCTGATGATGAAAATAAAGAATGTTGGAATGAGGAAAGTATCAACTATGTCAATAAGGAATGCAATTTAATGAGTACTATGGTATTATTATATTAAAAGTAGGTTTTCAAGCTGTTTAGAAAATCACCACTTAAAAATGAAACCCTTCAAAACATTTGTAGATCAGATTTAAAAAAAGAACTTGGACTTTTCTGGATACTAAAACAATATGGAATTCTCTAATCAGTATGTTAAAACGATTTTAGGAATTAAAAAATGCTATTGGTAAAGCTCTTGTAGATATATACAGAACAGATTTGATTTTATTAGAAGCAGAAATAAAGCATATTTCTAATATTGTTCAGATTCTTCATGTTGTAGAGTTAAGTGTTATGGCATTGGGAAAAGGTGACTGTGATCTAATAAAATCTGATAAAATTATATTGTTTTTACTACAAAAACTTAGAGAACAAAATACTAAAACTTGTCAAAATTATTAAATGTAGTTTTTGAGAGAACTATTGAAAGAAGAAATTATGTTACTGCTGGTTTACTTGTGCCATTTGCATTATCAGGATGACTTGAAATCAGATTCAGAGTTACCAGGTTATCTTTTGAAATACCCAAATAAAAATAAAATTGCTAAATTAGGTCGAGATGTTTTCATGTGTTTATTTCTACATGAGGAAGTAAAAGTAGCGCCTGAGTCTGATTAAATCTACTTGTAATGTAAAAACCAATAACAAAAAAAAATTATAGCTAAAGAATTACCAGAAATGATATCAAACATAACTTTAACAACAGTAAGAAATAAAGGAATAAAGTCATTTCCTCAAAAGGTTTTGACTTGTTTTAAACAAAAAATGGAAGTACTTGAAAGCACTGGAAAAAGGCCAAACTCCTTAAAAAAAGTTTACAACGCCATTGTTTAGACTACCACAATCTTCTGTAGAAGTAGAAAGAAGTTTTAGTGCCGAAGGTGCTAATTTAAAAATTAGTTTTAATGATGTAATGCTAATTTAAAAATTAGTTTTAATGATGACACTGTTAATAACTTATGTTTTTTAAGATCTGATGAAAAAAGAAAAAGAAAATCATGAGAAGTTGTATTTACTTTTTTTAAACTGTAAGAATTTATTTATAAAAATTAATCGAACAATTTTTCGAAAGTTGTTTGTTAATCGATTAATTTGAAATACCAATTAATCTACCACACTAAACTTTCACTAGGGTTGAAGTATGCTTTAAGTCATTTTGGCCGGATGAATAAAAAAAAACAGTTGCTTTTACTTATTGTTCAGCTTTACGTGAAAATTTTTTTTAAACTTGCTCAAATTTTTATTCACGTAAAGCTAAGCAATTTACTCCAAAAGCGTTGAGTAATTGCTTAGCTTTACGTGAAAAAAGTATAAAAAAAAATTTGATAAGTTTTTATTCACGTAAAGCTGACCAATTACTGATTAAAGACAGTTGCATTTTTTATTCACCCGGCCTATTGTCCTGCTCAAATATCCATTCTCGATGCATTTTAATCAAATTAAAATTTTATTTGTTATATCTTTTATTTATATCCGCAACGGATGCTTTTGTACGCGCATAGTTAAAAAAAAAAGAACATTTTAGATTAAAAATTTTAATCTAATTAAGATTAAAAAAAAAAGCCAAGATTTAGAAAAAAAATTCATTTGTTTTTGCTTTTTAAATTAATTTTTTGACATTCTAGTACAAAATTGAAAGAAAATAGATGTCGGTTTGTGCTCTTGAGTGGTTTCATGCTATTGTAGATAAAATGTAATTTAAACTGTTTCTCAATCCAGTGAATTTAGAGATTCAAAAAAAAAATTTTATGCCATGTGAGTATATCAAAGTTACTTAATGCCATGTGAGTATATCAAAGTTACTTAATGCCATGTGAGTATATAAAAGTTACTTAATATGTTACTTTTATTCAAACTAAAGGATCTAACTAAACTTTAAAATTGTATTTAAAAACGAGATAAGAGTAACACTGGTAACATAATGGGTTCAATGTTTATTTTTAAGAAAATGAAGAAAATAACAGTGATAAACTTAAAAGCAATTTTTTTTCTACTGTAGAAATTCCGAAAGTTTTTATGGATGTGTTAAACAGTGTTGAGGTGTTTGTTGGTGTTAGACAAAACTCAAGTTTTAAATAATTTTGACTTTTAACACATATACAATTTTTAAGGATTAAAAAAAAGATTTCAAAAATTCGAAAAAGCTTTAAAAAGAATAAAATAAACACTTATAAAACGCGAAAGAATGCTATATCATATGGCATTATTATGCACTACATATTTTATGTGTAGTTAAAATTAAAAAGCGATACTTTAAACTTCTATAATCATTTATTCTAATAAATATACTTAAAAAAAAAGGGTTTATAAATCAAACTTTTTAACAAAGTCACTGTTGCACCTAAAAATAGTGGGTCTCTCACACCTATAAAACCAGTTAATAAAAAAAAGATTTTACAATTTGATACCAAAATGACAAAAATCCTAAATTCAAATTATGCTTGCACTGATAAAATGACCTAAAAATTTTATTATTTTATAATAATTGTATTATTATCAAATTTATATTAGATTTATTCATTTATTTCATTTTTCTGAAAAAATTTTTTTCACTAATCATTTCCAAAAGTGGTAAACAAATAATTTCTCCGATGATTATATTTCAATAAATATTTCATACAACAATATAAATATAAATAAATAAACTATATATATATATATATATATATATATATATATATATATATATATATATATATATATATATATATATATATATATATATATATATATATATATATATATATATATATATATAATATTCACACACATACTTAAATATACTATAAAAACTAGTCCCACATTTAAAAACTATCTAAAAAACACCTAAATAATTATTTTATATATATGAAAATATATAGTAAGCTAAAAATATATAATACTTTTTTTTATATCAAATTATAAATGTTTAGCATAAAATCCACACATATTTTCAGTAGTATGGAATAGGTCAAACACGTTTGACATAAATACAAAAATATATTTTAATCGAATAAATATAAACACTTGAAAACAATTAAAAAGCTAGGCCTTGAATGAAGCTGATTGTCTTGTTGATGATGGTTGCTTCTCTGTCAACCCAACGTATGAGTAAAAAATACTGCCTGCAATACTATATAAAAAAAGATTTAATTGTTTGATTAGATATTCAACTTATTAATATAATTAAAAAAAAAGTTAAATGTTTTAATAATAATATTATTAATAATAATAACTAAATAATAATAAACAAAATTACTAAGTAATTTACATTAACAAAATGAAAATGTATATATATGTATATATATATATATATGTATATACATGTATGTATATGTATTTTAATGTATATATATGTATATATATGTATGTATATATATATAAATATATATATATATATATGTATATATATATATATATACATATATATATATATATATATATATATATATATATATATATATATATATATATATATATATATATATATATATATATATATACATATATATATATATATATATATATATATATATATATATATATATATATATATATATATATATATATATATATATATATATATATATATATATATATATATATATATATATATATATATATATATATATGTATGTATATATATATGTATATATATATATGTATATATATATATATATATATATATATATATATATATATTTATATATACATTTTCAATTTTTTTCCGAACAATGCAGACAACTATATCGTTAACTTATATTGTAAAAATAAAATAATAAAATAAAAACTAGCATTATATATTTCAAATGATAACAGCTAGTTTCAATACCATCGCATAAGTTCAATACTATCTTATGTTTGCTCACTATATAAATTCCTATCAACACAATCCTAAAAGTAATTTAAACTGTTTTTCAATCCAGTGAATTTAAAGATTTAATAAAAAACTTCACTATGCCATGTAAGTATATCAAAGTTATATAACACGTTACTTTTCTTCAAACTAAAGAATCAAACTCAACTGCAAAACTTAAAAAACAAGATTACTCCCAATATTACAAATTTAACATCCAAATAACACATCGCAATATAACAAATTCAAGATCAAAATAATACATTGCTATAGCATTTTGCTACATCACAAATTTAACATCAAATTTATGAAAACTAGTTTTCTAATGTTATTTTATAATGAAATAATTTTTTTTTAAATTAACAACTGATAAAAAAGCAAAAAACCAAAAATTATTTTTAGCAAATAAATTTATTTAATTGACTCTTTAATAATAAAAAGGTTATAAGTTATTTATCTTGGAAATAGTACTTTTCGCGCTTTTATTTGAAAAAATTTCAAACATATCTTCAACATTTCAACAATTTTATTTTTAATGGAAATCATTGCAAGATTGTTTAATCTATCCTGGCCCATCATTGATTATAAATAATTTTAATAACTTTTAATTTCGAAAAGATCTTTTGGCACTAGCTACTGTTATTGGTAATATGAGATGGTAATTCTCAATTCAATCAAGCTTGTCTTTAGATTATCCTGGCCCCGCAGCGAAATAACAGTTGTGGTCTCTCCAAACTCCCACCCCCTTTCTTCTAACAGTCACCCAGAAAAAAAATTTGAACTTCAACATGAATTTTTTATATAACTTACTTAAAAAGTATTACTGCATTAGACCAAAAACAAGTAAAAGTGATTATAATAAATTAATCCGAAGAATAAGCAAGCCACAAGCAAATCTTTGTGTTTTACATATATTTAAAACAATTCAGTAGATTAGAGTGAAACATTGATATTTCTAAATATTACATTATTTTAATCTAGGTTTCATTATTACAAATAACAATGATATTAATGAATGTAGATTTATTCAGTGAAACTAGGGAATCTAGTTTTTTTGAATTACTAAAATAAATTTAGATGATTTAGTTTTTTGGTTTCACCGGTATCAATTTTAATCGAACTGAGAATAAATAGGTTGAAAAGCAGACATTAATTTGGAAAATAAATGCTTGCATTGTGAAGGTAGAAAAAAGTTATTGGGCATGCAATGTGATGAGGGCATGCAATGTGATTTGAAATGAAAGAGAAGTAAAACTTGCCTTCGTCTCTCAAGTTCAACTAAAAGTCCTCTCCCAGTCTGATTTCGCAATAAGCACCAATTTGCCTTGTTAGCAGTTTTATTTCTAGTTATATCAAGTATTTTAAATACTTGATATAACCTTTTGTCTGAAATTAGACAGAGAGCTATGCAATTCATTTGCCACTAGCTTCTACTATTCATGTGTTTTGGCATTATTCAGCTCTTTCAAGGCTACCTTGAAGTTTAAGCACATAGTTCATATATACAAATATATAAACATTATTGACAATTAGGATCTTAAAAAAAACATATTATATATACAATGCAGCAGACAAATTTTATTTCTTTAACATTGCATACAAAAAATTTTTTTGTTATGTTTTTGAGTTTTGTTTTTTATTATAAAAAAATTGATTCAAGGTATAAAAATAGGATGTTGTGCCTTTTTTAAAATTTACTTTATAAAAAAATTACTTTATAAAAAATTAATTTCTTGCTGGCTGGCCTCCCCAAAAACCCTGGCCCCGAAGCAACTGCCTATGGTGGATTGCAATAGATTCATTTGTGTAGATTTAATTCAAATCGTTTGCATACAAATATTTTAAAGAATTTTCAGGATTTAAATTTTTATTAACACAAAGAAAGAATTCAAAATTTAGTTCCTCTCTTTTTTTCCTTTGTCCGCTTGGAAAGGTTTTTTTCATTTTTTTTCTTTTTCCATTGGAAAGTTTACTTTCCAATGGAACTTTTCAAATTGTAATGGATTAAAATTGTTTGCTTGTTAAACTAATTTTGAATAAAGCTTTATGCCAAATCACAATCAAACACAAAAAATCAAAGTTTTTTCTTTTTTTAAAGCAATTGATTCTGCTGTAATTTTTGAAGCTGTTTCATTAGCGCATTTTTGAAAAAAAAAAAAATAGTTTTTACAGGATTGATATGACTTGCCCATCTTATCACTTAATGGTTTAACAGTTAAAGGTGGACACATTGATTGCAAAATTATATTTTTGTTGAAGCAGGAAAAAATGTGTAAACTTGTAAATCTTCAAATTTAAATAAACATTAGTATAAAAAATTACAAACTATAAAAATGATATGCATATAAATAATAAAATAGAAAATCAGCAAAAAAAAATCTGTCAATTTTAATGCTCTTATTTAAAAACACTTACCTTATATTTAAACCCAAGAAATTAACCCAGTCGAATTTATAAAACACTTACCTTATATTTAAACCCAAGAAATTAACCCAGTCGAATTTATAAAACACTTACCTTATATTTAAACCCAAGAAATTAACCCAGTCGAATTTATAAAACACTTACCTTATATTTAAACCCAAGAAATTAACCCAGTCGAATTTATAATCTCCACCAATTAACATGCCACAGTATGTCACTAACACATTCTAAAAAATAATACTTCAGAATAAGAGAATTTTCAAAACAAAAATATGTATCTCATCAAATTTGGTGCAAATATATAGAAAATAGGTTTTAAAACATATCGGTCACTTTCTGAACATTCTAGACCCGACCTTAACGCTCATTTTTTTGAAAAAAGATGTCAATTTTTTTTTGTCAAAAATTGCTGATTTCTGTGACATTGAGAGAGGGTCTAAAATAAACCAATTTGGCTGAATTAAAAAAAAAAGGGCCTACACTACATATATCTTGCATTTAAAATCATACGTATACTTGTTTTTGTTTTATTAACGAGCATTTATTATTCAAGTTATCCATAAATTTGCAAAATTTATGACTTTTGTTGTGATATTAAGAAAGCATTTGGAGGATAAAAATACATTTTTTCTAATTTAATAAAAATATTTTTTGATTAAAAATATTGTACATTGCTTGCTACTTTAATTAGTTACATATTTGAAGGTAAGTTTCCTTGTTATTCTTCCACCCCCCTTCGCCTGTCATTTACCAAAATAAAATAAATAGCAAACCATTAAACTTCATGTTTTTTTACTAAAGTTTCATATGAATTTATTTTTTAAATAAAAAACAATTAATATGAAGCCGCTACATTTTGATTTAAAATTTGAAATTTACATATTTGACTTTGAATTTTAAAATTTAAAATAAAAATTTAAGTAACTGAACAACTATTGATATGAGTTATCAGAAACACAAAATTTTTGCAATAACAGTTTTAGATCTTCTAAAAAGATTTTGCATATTATCGATAAAGCTACGCCTGTTATTTCAGATATGTGTTGCATAGAAATAAAAATAATGTACAGTTATCGATTTGGTTTTATAATGTTTTGCATTTAACTGAAAAGAAGTCATAGTCACTAAAACACATTTTCATCTCAATATCGACACCAATCCATCACACTATTATACTCTGTAAGATTGTCAATCAAATTTGTGAAATAGAATTACAAAAAAGTTGAATATTCTATATTGTCCTTTAAGACAAACCTAAAGGTTGATAGGTGTCAACTAGTTGAATGTGAATGTATCATGGCGAAAATAAAACATTCTTGGATTAAAGCAGGGTTTCTAGTTACTAGGGACGTAAATATTCAAAAAAGTTTATAAAATCTTGAGCAAAAATATTCTAATTTATCAAAGAATGTTAAAAGAATTTCAAAACAAGATTAAAAATTTTGTTAAACGTATTTTTTGGATAGGAATTCCAGAACTAAAAGATTTTATTCCAAGTGACAAGCTAAGATCTAATGAATCTAAAATTGAAGATTTACAATTCTTCGAAGTTCAAGAAGACCCAAGATTATATCATTTGGATCCTCTAGACACTAAATATACTAAGAACGTAATTTAATTATGCTTTGGTTGTGAGAATTTGCATAGTGAAAGTTTTATTTTTTTAAATATTTAGGCAGTTTTGCGTCAGATTTTATTTATATGATGCTCTCAAGGTTGAATGAACTATTGAGTTACTTTACTATATGGAGTGAAGTATTAGTATATAAAATATTAATTTAACTTTATTTTATTTTTGGACTTACACTATGTTGATTCTCATCTGCACATTTAGTTTTTAAATAATATACTCTTTATAGTTTTATAAAATTATTAAATATGCTCTAACTTTGTGTTTTTGTCACTCTAACAACTTATAACTAATAAATTTATTTTTATATTTATATTTATTTATTTTTATAGGTAAAATCATTAAATATAAAGAAGTACAAAAATGCAATGAAAAATGGATCACCGAGTAAAATCTTAAAATTTTACGAAGAAAACGTTAGCAGTAATTATGAACTAAGTTCAGATAACTTTTCTGATTCTGACTTCGAGCTAGGCAAATGGATAAAATAAAAATAATAAACCAAGCAGTACAATAATTCGGGCCAACATTCCTAAAGATATTTATTCTGGAAATGTTGCTTTAACAGCAACTGTTTATAACATCTCTCCTATGGTTCTGTCAACTACAGCTAGAAGAATGAAAAGAGAAAATAAAGAAATTTCAAATATTGCTAAAGAAGATATTAAAACAAAAGTACGTTTATCTACATTCTCATGTATAATTCATTTTGATGGAAAAACTATAATTGAGACAATTAAAGGAAAGAAACTAAAATGCGAGCAACTAGCTGTACTAGTAAATATTAATGGTGAATCACACTTGTTGGGTGTGCCTTCTTTACCATCCTCTTCAAGAGATAATCAATATAAAGGAATAATGCAGTTGCTAGATGAATATGGTATTTAATCAAATGTTAGTGGATTGTGCTTTGACACAACAGCATCAAATACTGGCATTTCGAAATGGACTGTTAATAGAATTACCTATGATTTAGGTAAATACATTCTCCAGCTTACTTGCAGGTACCATGTTACCATGGCATCATGTTACAGAGCTTAGAATAAGTCATTTTCAGAAACATGTTACTCATGAAGAAAATTTAGGAATAGAAAATCTTTTTTTTAAAAAAATTAAAAAATAAGTTGGACAATCCAGAGTTTTATTAAAATCCTGAAAACATATTAAGGTTTGATTGGTCATTAAAGGCTCGTACTGAAGTTGAAAAAGCAGCAACAGATACACTCGAATATTGTAAAAAATATGTTAAAAAAAAAATATTGCTGCGGAAGACAGAAAAAAACTAGCAGAGCTTGTAATTATTTATTTATTGAAATCAGGAATTAGTAAAATAAAAAACCCAGGTGCAGCAAGATTTCTAAGCTTAGCTCTTTATTATGCAAAGTTACAACTGCTATCTAAACAACTGAAGTTACATCTGCTATCTAAACAACTGAAGTTACATTTGCTATCTAAACAACTGAAGTTACATCTGCTATCTAAACAACTGAAGTTACATCTGCTATCTAAACAACTGAAGTTACATCTGCTATCTAAACAACTGAAGTTACATCTGCTATCTAAACAACTGAAGTTACATCTGCTATCTAAACAACTGAAGTTACATCTGCTATCTAAACAACTAGATTTTTTGATAAAAGAGGAAGACGTAAAAGCTCAAATAGAACAAATTGTGAAATTTTTTGTTTTTATGCTTCATGGTACTTGCAAAGCCACAATCCTATTAAAACCCCATACCTTGATATTGCATGTTCTACATCAAATGACTCTGTATAAAGATGCTTACCAAGTAAAAGAAGCTGTAGATAAAGTATTTGACCCAATATTAAAACACTTTTGGTACTTAGATTCAACTATGAAACCTCTTTTGCTTCTAGGTTATAAAGTTCCTGATAAAGATAAAACACTAATCGCCAAATTAATTGCGATTACTTTACGAAAACATTACTAATTGAAGTAATAAGCAATTTACAATATTATCAACCAAAAATAATTTTATTACACGTGGCCATTGACACCGGAATGGGGAGGGGGGGAAGAAGGGGTGTGCCTTCCTTTTTTTTTTTCAAGGACTTTTTTATATATAAAATTAAAAAACCCTTCACTTTGAAGGCTGGTTTAATGGTCCTGTTATGTTAGAAAAAGTGTATTTGCATACTCCAAATGCTTTCTTAGTATCACAACAAACTCACTAATTTTATGAATTTATGGATAATTTGAATAAAAAATGCTTGGTAATAAAACAAAAACAAAAATAGGTATGATTTAAATGCAATTTATATGTAGTCTAGACCTTTTTTTTAATTCAGCCATCTTTGTTTATATTAGAACCTCTCTCAACATCACTGAAATCAGCAACTTTTGACAAAAAAATTGACATTTTTTTTACAAAAATGATCGAGAGCGATTGCTCCCGCTTCCCGACCAAGCCTGTATCAAAGTCAAAAAATTTCTTTTTTGCTTTGCTATCCGCTTTATTATTTTGGTTTACTTTATTATATGTATATATATATATATAAATATATATATATATATATATATATATATATATATATATATATATATATATATATATATATATATATATATATATATATATATATTTGTATATATATATATATATATATATATATATATATATATATATATATATATATATATATATATATATATATATATGTATATATATATATATATATATATTTATATATATATATACATATAATAAAGTAAACCAAAATAATAAAGCGGATAGCAAAGCAAAAAAGAAATTTTTTGACTTTGATACAGGCTTGGTCGGGAAGCGGGAGCAATCGCTCTCGATTGCTGACCATGTAAATAATATTTAGTTGCAAAAAGCTGGCCAAACTTTTTAGTCGTTTTGAGAACATTTAAAAAAAAAAAACAAAAACAAAGATTAATTGGACCAATGAGAGACAATTACAAAAAAAAAATTATACAAATAAAATATCTTAAAACGCGAAAAAACTTAAAGCTAAATAAATAAATTATGTTTAGAACAAATATTTTCGAAACATCGCTCTTTTATAATTTTTTTCATAACATAAAGCAATGTTTTTTATATAAAGTAACATCTTACGATTGTTTAAAAAGGAAACAAATATTCTTTATTTAACAAAGTTTGCAAGTTTTATTTAAGCTAAATTATTTTATAAATAAAAAAAGTTAATTTTTTCAATACCTATTTTATGTTTTGCGTAGTTTGAAAAGTTTAACATATTTGAAGCAATTCTTCTTATTAAGATAAACAAATGAAATAATTATATCATTGAATTACTATAGAAATTAAATTAACAAGATAGATTTCAACTAAAAAGATTAAAAAAACTTTATGATGAGGAAGCGAAACTGCTTCACAATATCACTGATGATGTTTAATGAGTGGGCTTTTTAATTTTAATTAGTATTTAAAGCAGAAAAAAGTATAACGAGTTTTAAGATGGCAACTTAAGCGAAAATAATTAGAGTTAGTAAACCAATATCCAGAAACTTTTCTTAATATCTAATTATTTGCTATATATATTTTTGTTCTGTCGTGACCTCAGGCGCAGTGCTTGTTTATTTGCAAGTTACTTTGTATGTGTTGTTTGTGTTTAGTAACCAGAAACTTATGTTTGTTATATAATGTTTTATTAACTTTAATGATTATAACTTCATTAAAAAAGCAATTATTTTTGTAAGTCTTTGTTTACAAATTAAATCATAAAAATTGCTTTAAAAGATACATTACAATAAAAAACAGATATCAAAATTACATTTACATAAAGAATACATACTTTTTAAATAAAAAATAAGAATATACTAATAAAATCTATGATTTATAATTAACTTTTCAAATTTTGATAATTTAATTAATATATATTTAAAACATTTATTTTTGTAAACAAATAATATATATTCTTAAACAGAGCCATCCTGAAGAGGGGGTGTCAGGGGTGTCCCCCCCCAAAAAAAAACAAAAAAAACATTCATTTACGTTGGCACATTGAGCAAGTTTTAAACTATAATTGCAAATATTGAGGACCTTGGGGGGTTTTTAGTGTTCGCGAATATTCTTTTTATTCTTTCGTACCAAGATGTTTTAAGAACATTAAAGTTTTTTATGTTTCCATGTATGTCCGTAAAACAAAAATTTTTTGTTTCATACATAAACTTAAATGTTCTCAAAACAACTAAAAAACCTGGCCAGTTTTTCGCAACTAAATACAATTTCCGTGGTCAGTATTCAAGAGCGATCGCTACCGCTTCGTACCAAGCCTGCTTTGATAGTTGCTATCTTAACAACTACAATCAACAAAATAAAATCATATTAATTTACATTATTCAGTATATCTAATCAGTAGCTATCTTGCTTTCAAAAATTAAAGTTTAATTTTCTATTTTTAATTATATAAAATAAATAAACTCTTTTTGACTTTTCTTACGCTTTTTTATTACTCAACATATTTACACAAGAAAAAATGTTTATGGTCAGTCATCTTAATCCGACAGTGTAAAGATCTTTTTATATTGATTTGATTACAAATAACAATTTTTGAAAATGTTTTCCTTATTTCTTGATCTTGCTGAAATTGTCCTATTCTAACTGAAAGTTTCTTATATAGAGTGAAAATAAATTATTTGTTTCAATTTCTTTAAATTGTTTAAAAATAGTGCATTAAACATATAGTGCAATTAAAATCCCTTTTTAAAGTCAATTTGAAGTCTGACAGCATTGAAGCTTTTAGAAACTTAATAACATAATAACATTCAACATAGTAACATTCATAACAAATATAGTAAAATTTAAAATTTTTTACCAAATGCGGTAGTTGTGTAGTGGTAGAGCACTTGCTTCATAAGAGAGAGGTTTCAAGCTCGATCCCCACCACGTCCCTGGTAGTAACAAGAAAACTTGTTTCTCTGCGCAGGGGCCTTGTTCGTCAAGGTTCCTGTTTTGGATATATGGAGTTGAGAGAGGGTAATAACCACAATTAAGTAGCCTCCTCATCTGTAGTGACCTTCTCTGCCTTGGGGAGCAGAATTTAAAAAAAAAAATTAATGTATTTGGTTGTAATAGTTATGTGGTTGTAAATTGCGCGTGTAAAAAAAAAATATTTTACCTTTAAACAGCCAACTATAGTTGTGGTTAGAGCAGAGTTATAATTTGTACACAAAACAGAAGAGTAATTTAAAACAAAACTAAATAAAAATTGTATAATTAAAAATGTGGACATTCAGTCTTTATGTGTATTATATATACAGTACTTGAAGAAGAGAAAAAAAAAGTAACGGGATGGTATTCGGTAAATTAAAAAGACCATCCCACCTAATGAGATCTATTTGTTATTGCATAGTTATATATAGAGATTTTTAAAAAGGTGACGAGATGGCATCCAACCACATCCCGCCTCATTACAAGCACTATATATATATATATATATATATATATATATATATATATATATATATATATATATATAATATATATATATATATATATATATATATATATATATATATATATATATATATATATATATATATATATATATATATATATATATATATATAATATATATATATATATATATATATATATATATATATATATATATATATATATATATATATATATATATATATATATATATATATATATATATATATATATATATATATATATATATATATATATATATATAATATATATATATATATATATATATATATATATATATATATATATATATATATATATATATATATATATATATTTATATATATATATATATATAAATTAGAAGCAAATTGTCAATTACCCAAAAATACATGCAACTAAAAACATTCCAACAAAAGTCATGTCTTCCCATCTGGTATAAGTATATGCCTGAATCAGAAATTTAAATTAAAAAAAATAATAATTTAGTTTAACCATTAAATATAAAAAGTATTAAAAAATATATAAAATTATAAAAAGGAAAAAAGTTTTGGATTTAAGATTTTTATTTTTTTATTTTGTTGTTTTGTACAAAACTTGAAATAAAATAAATGAAACAAAAAATAACTAATAAAAATTCATTTTTTAGTATTTATTTACATGTATATTCTTTCAAACAAAAAAACATAACAGTCAAGAACTTAAATACTAAACAAATAATCAGAGCAATAGCCCCCCCCCCCTTCTTGTTACTTTCATTACATAAGACACAACAGCATCATAACAACTGGATGAGCTATTTCATCTTTATATTATTCTTATATTATTTATGTATATCCCTAAATAAATATATTTATTATATATAATCATATTTAATTAAAATCAAATTAAACAAAATAATTAGTTTGTATTACCAAGTTCATGTCACCTGTAGATATGCTCCAACATAATGCTGGTGCAAGCATGAACAGACTGTTATAAAAAATTAAACCATATTGTCCCAAATCTTTTGATTCAAGCTTTTTTTTAATGTAAACTCCTAAAACAAACATAAAAGCAACATACTTTAGGCAAAAAGTAGACAATTTTGTTTTTCCATTTAAATATTTTTCCTTTTACAGCTTGTTGTAATTATTATTACATCTACATCAAATAAACTTGACTGTAAAAATTATTATTAAAACATAGTAGATAAGAACATCGTAGATAACAAAAAATTACCATTTGCAGCAGTCATAAGATTATTAATCATGATCATAATATATCCATTCAAATCAAATGCGAAATCTCGACTAAAAAAAATAGTGGAAAAAAAAATGAAAACCTACAAAAAAACTTCTTTTAAACATTTCAATATTTAAAATCATTTTAAACATTTAAAAAATATTTTATATATTTAAATTTGGCTTGTCTGCCAACATAAACAAAAAACAAACCTTGCTGCAACAACAGCACCAATTAGCATACAATAAACAGACAATTGTACTTTAACACTGGCTTTTTGGCTAGAAATAAACAGACACAATTAAACTGACTGCATAACTTGAATTAAAAATCAATAAAATATCAAAAACTAACTTTAAAACAAAATATTCTCCCACCATAGTGAACAAAATCGAAAATCTTCTTAAAACTGTAAACATTGGTAAACTAAAAACCATAAATTTTTATATTCCTTTTTAAATATATACAATGTCAGTTTCATATTCTATTGTTCTTCTACTGTTAATTTAAATTTTTACAACAAAATATTTATCTATACATAGCATAATATCTATAAATATTCTAAATATAAACTTATTTTCATTAGTTTTTTTAAGGATTTTTCGAATTATAAAAAAAAAAATTTGATGGATTTTTATGGTTGGCTTTAGTATTCTAAAACTTGTTGCACCTTAGTTTGTTTGTTTTGAAGTCATGTTTTATAGAAAATGAAATTGACAAAATATAGTAATATAATATGTTTTAGTAAATACACAGTTAAATACCATATGATTAATTAAAACCCTCTTACCTTATATTTTAATCTTTTAAATACATAAAATTAATGATAATATAATTGCCGCCTTTTAAAAAAACCTTACTTTAAAGATTGTGTACTTCCGAGACCAGAAACCAAATTTAAAAAATATAATAACGGTAGTGGGAAAACCTAAAATAAAATTTTTACAAAACCTTTTTAAAAAAAATAGTGCAACTGATAGCAAAAAATAGTTAATAACTAACAACAAAAAATAAAAATGTTTTGAAAAAACTAAATGAACATACCTTTTTAAACACATCTTTATTGAACCCTGGAAATGTTATAACACCTAGTTGATTTGAAATACCCAACACTAACAATGAAGCCACCATCTAAATTAACACCAAAGAACAAACCCTTTCATATATTTATATATAATTTCAGGATGATCAAAACGTAATAACAAACTGTCAACAATCAAATTTATCATATATTTAAAATTATTTTTAAGTTGTAAAGTGTAGTCTTATATTGTTTTTTAACATCCTTGAGTGTAAATATGTTTTGAAAAAAATGTATGTATGGCCAAAAATGTATGTATTTTGGACCTCCTTTATAAAATATTACAGGTGATATTTCATGCCATGCGCAAAGATATAAAAAGAAATCCTCTAACAAAAAAAAATATACCTGGCCTATTGCAAGAAATTGAAAAGAAGGAAATCTAAAAATATAAAGATTTTAAACATATTATTTTACAGCTAGAATGTTTTTTTTTTTTTTTGTTGACCTGATGCCGATCTCTTAGAGTATGAGATCGACAAATTTTTAACCTCATTTTTTCTAATTTCAAGGATTTTATATATATATATATATATATATATATATATATATATATATATATATATATATATATATATATATATATATATATATATATATATATATACATATATATATATATATATATATATATATATATATATATATATGTGTATATATATATATATATATATATATATATATATATATATATATATATATATATATATATATGTATATATATGTGTGTATATATTTATATATATATATATATATATATATATATATATATATATATATATATATATATATATATATATATATATATATATATATATATATATATATATATATATATATATATATATATATATATATATATATATATATATATATATATATATATATATATATATATATATATATATATTATATATATATATATATATATATATATATATATATATATATATATATATATATATATATATATATATATATATCTTTAAATCCAGACCCCTTGTCCTCTAAAAAACTAGCACTACATTGGTGAATATTGACTCTTTATTAGTTCTTATAAATCTGTTAAAAAAGATTTTTCTTTTGTAAAACTCTTCTTAATAAGCACCTTCAGCTTTTAAAAAAGTTTTCACTGCATATTTATGATATGAAAAATTTATTGATGCCAATTAACCTACTTGGTCATTTGGCATCATGAGAAACCTTTCCAAGCTGTATCCCAGTTTTATCTAGATTATAAATCAGAGATGGTATCAAATTGTATTGTGTAATAACGTCTAAAAGCTTATTTTGAAACTAATAAAATAACAAAATAAAATTATAGCACTAAGGGCCTTAAACTTGAGATCTATTTGTTATTGCATAGTTATGCATATTTTACTGTTAACTGCATGCTTGCTTATTTATACTTAGTGCAAATTTCAGTCATTACATTTTGTTATGACATATTTAATAATTTTTTTTATTCGCTATTTTTTACAACATTTTACTATTTAGCAATAACTGCAATTAATAATTGCTAAATAGTAAAAAAAAATTAATTAAATACTTTTATAAACAAATTTGTAGTGGTGTTGTGGTAGTGTGCCAGCTACGTTAGCAAGAAGTATTAAATTTGATAGTACCATACTCATGCTTAGTAAAAATGCTTATATTTTTATTATGTCTAAATAATATTTGTGTTTTTATATTAATATTTAAAATAAACTAAATCACAATTCGTTCATGATATGAAAATAAGTAATTATCCATTGTTAGTCCAGCGTGCCAGCACCATGCCATAAATACAATTAAAAAAACATACAAAAGACACAATATACTGTTATAAACAATATAGAAAAATTCTGGAAAAGTTTTGGCTTTAATTAAAAAGGCGATCCCCCTCTTACCTGGAATGTTTTAAAAATGTTATTTTTTCTAGTTTTAACAGTGAATGTTTTAACACGGATTGCAGAATATTCTATAGTAAAAGCAGATAAACGTTTTTAAGTTATATTTATGAATATTCAAAATAAATAATAATCTCAAAAAATCAAATAAAATTTGAGAGCAGATTTTCTGAGAAAGATTTTAATATGAAGAATAAAGAGATTACTTATTTAAAAAAAAAAAATTGAGAATAAATATATAAGCTTAATTGGTAAGAAAGCAAAAACTGAAGTTTTTACATTAATTTCTTAACGTTGTTCCAAGCTTATCAGATTAAACTACGTGAAAAAATTATGACTTAAAAAAAAATGGAAGAAAATAAGTAGACAAAAGGGAGATTTATAAATTATAATGAGAAATGCTTAAATATGGAATTTATTGTAAATGAAACTTTGCTTTATAAGCAGGAGATCCAGGTTCTGGATCTCATGCTTATAAAGCAAGTGCTCTAATCACAAAACAAGCTCTGGACATATTTTCGCTTCACCGTAAGGAAGGAGGCATGAACTTCCTGATTAAATGCACTTCTGCGGTGCTATGTGACAAGACCATTAGGTCTTCTTGGGGCACCTATATATATATAAAAAAAAAACTTGCAATAAATAATGCAGATATCTTTGACAAAAGCTACAATAAAAAACAGCTAAAATGATCAAAGTTGCATTAAAATTGTCCCAAACGAAATCAGGCAACAAAGTGATAAACAAAGCTGTTTAAAGAAGCAAATCAAGCTTCTAAGCAGAACGGCAAGCATTACAATGGACCAACTACAGCGACAACATCAAAAACAACAGCAATGACAACAACTAACAACATTTGAGAGCATATGCCTCTACTCTAGTTGAAAAGGCAAGATAAAATTTAAAAATCAAAATAAAATTTTAAATTACCCCGTTAAATAAGTAAAGACAAGAAAAGTGAATCAAATTTAGTATTTGATTCTCTCTCTTTTTTTGACTTTTGGGACATTTTTTGGGACTTCATGAGTGAACAACAAAGAAGTATGAGGAACTAGTCAAAGAGTTTTTCAAAACCATTGATGTTGACCTGAATGATATTGTACATGTACGCTGATATTGAAAAAAAGATAACCAAATAATAAAAAACAAACTCATCATCAAAAAAGTTATTCAGATAGTTCTCAGTTCAGTGCTCAACAAAAGGCATTTTTGAAAGGCAACTTTTATGAACAAGACGCATAATGTACTCGATGACAGTAATGTACTTGATGACTCAAGACGGTAATGTACTTGATGAGTCTCCTACACTTCATCTTCTAGGATTAACTCTTACTTCTGATCTTTCTTGGAAACCTTATATCAAATCCGTTGCAAAATTAGCATCTGCTAAAGTTGCTTTTCTTTATCGAGCTCGACACTTTCTTACTCTGGATTCTATTCTCTATCTCTACAAATCTCAAATCCGGCCTTGTATGGAATACTGTTGCCATATCTGGGCGGATCTTCTAATGATGCCCTTTCTCTTTTAGACAAGGTGCAAAAATGCATTGTAAACATAGTTGGACCTGCTCTTGCAGCCAACCTTCAACCTCTGTCACATCGTCGTAATGTTGCTTCTCTTTCTCTTTTCTACAAATACTATTATGGGCACTGCTCTAAAGAGCTAGCGTCTCTTGTGCCATCTACTAAAATTCATTCTCGTGTTACTCGTCATTCAATTAAGTCTCATCCTTTTTCTGTTACTGTTCCTAAGTGCTCCAAAAACTCTTACTCATCTAGTTTTTTTCCTTGAATATCAGTTCTTTGGAAATCGCTTCCTTCATCTTGCTTTCCTGATTCATATAATTTGCAATCTTTTAAGTCATCTGTCAATCGTTATCTTGCTCTACAATCTTTATCTTTTCTCTTTCAGTAACTTCCAATACTAATAAGTGGTTGCTTGCAGCCTTGTTGGAAGCGAAGATGTTTTAAAAAAATAAAAAATATTCAGGAGTTTATACTTGTGAGGATTGAACTCAACCAGAACGAGATGCATTTAACAAATTAGCTGCTGAAAAAAAAAAGAAGAAAAGAGAAAGAAATTCTCCTTTTTTTAAACTTTTACAGAAAAAGTCATTAGACATGCCTTTTCAGTGGATCATCCTCCAACGAACTGGAACTGTTAGATATATCAATACTGGTAAATCTAGTAAAAAGAAGAAATGAATTTGGATCTCAAAAGAACAGAGCTCTCAAATTTAATCCGCGTGAAAATCTAAAACCAACACAACCAACTAAAACAACTCAGATACCAAAGTGCCATCCAAAGCCACCACTTTTAAAATATAAACATTCTAACTACCAGTCAATTTTAGCACACTAAAAGTCAAACATGTGCAATAAAAAGTAAATAAACAACCCATGCCCTCTTAAAAGCACCAAAAGAGACAAGCTAATAGCTAGAATTGAAGATAAACCAATAAAAAAATAAAAAACAGATTTACTATTTTATGCTGAATCATGGTTCAATAAATCATCTATCATCAAACCAGCAGACTATCAATGTCATAAAATAGATAGAGATAGACAAGGAGGTGGCATGGTAATGTATATAAAAGATGAGTTTCCAGCTATGGAAACAACTATTCAACAACTTAACTCAGCAAGTATTGAACAAGTATGGCGTATCATAAATCCAAGATATGAATCTATCCTTGTAGGATATATTTAAAGACCACACAACAGTAATGATATTTTTCTAGAAGATATAACTTACTTAATGAAAGTAGCTAAAAACAATATAATATCTTTAGGCTGTTTAGTAATGTTAGTCAACAGAGATTTTAATTTTAACCAGACAACCTACAATGAACTTGACATTTATGGAGGAAGGAAGGAATGACAAATTGACTAAAAATTTCAGAAATGTCTAACTGAAAGTCGACACACTCAAGTAGTGAACTTCTCAACATATTGTAACTCCACAAACAAAGTTCCAAAGAATATTCTTGACCTTACTATCACGAATGATCCAAACAGAATTGAGGAACTAGAAAAGAGTGACTTGTTAGGCTGTACACCCAGTGATGGCTCTACGCGGAGACTTAAAGGACTATAGTCCCAGGGCCCTGAGCTTCTGTAGGGCCCTTAAAAAAAAGACAAAAAGAAAAGAAGCAGTAAAATTTAAAATTGGCAATTTTTGTTTAATTTAGAAAGTGTCACTTAATTTCTTATAGAACTTTTTTAATTTATCAAACTAATTTCTTTTTCGCATTTCTTATTTAATATTTTAATTTTTAATGAATCACCCTTGTTTTGTTTTATTAAATCACTAATATAAAAAAAAAAAAAATTAAAAATAAAATAGTTAAAATAAAATAGTTGCTTATATTGCTCCGTTTTCAAAAATAATTAAAAGGTGAAGAGTTTTTGATAATTAATAACAACTTATTAGTTTCTATTAGTTACATTTTTTTTTATTAATCTTTTGGTATAAAACATATATTAATTAAATATTTTTATCTATTGAGTGAAAAAGAAATATGGTTAAAATAAAAAGTGGATCAATAGAAAGAAAAGAAAAAGATGTAAAACAAAACAAAATGGAAGAGGATGTAGCGAAATGTCATAAGATAAGCAAATTTTTTTGTTAATTTTTTATGATATTAAGCTGTACCTGTTCCTTTAACCTATATACCTATAAATGGCTATAGTGATGCTTTTTTAGAAACATCCTCAAAAGCAACGTGATACTAGATCACTATCAGTGATAACAGAAATATCAACAACTATTACTGAAGCTGACTCATTATTTTTAACATCAGCTACCAAAGATACAAGATTAGTTTCATCATTCTCTCAGGCTGAGGCTGTCTGTGATGATTTCAGCTATGTCACTACTAATGAATCTTGATTTGGTATTTAAATGTGAATTTAATAAAAGTAATGGATACTTGTGATATTAATTTAACTTATGTTTTCTTTGATGTTTGTGCTTGGAATAATGATTAGGAATCTAAAAAACAGCGATATATCCAAAGATATATAATTGACAATGGCACAGAAAACTTTCAGCCTAAAATTGTGATTTTTTCAAATCTGCACAAACTGTTGAAAAGCAGACAAGATATTTTCAACCAGCAACATTTTACCTTATTAAACAAATTAAACAAAAGATTCTATGAAAATGGATGTGTTATTCCCCAGTGAAAGAATCATTATAATGCATCCTTTGTGTGGTATTTTTTTTTTTTTTTTTTAAATTTTTTTGTTAATTCACCTCCTCAAGGCCGAGAAGGCCACTACAGGCGAGGAGGCTACTTATTTGTGGTTATATGGCCCTCTCTCAACTCTATAACTCCGAAACACTAACCTTGACAAACAAGGCCGTTGCGCGGAGAAACGAGTTGAGCACAGTACTACCAGGGACGTGGTGGGGATTGAACTCAGAACCTCTCGCTTATGAAGCGAGCGCTCTACTACTACACCACTACCGCATAATTATTCAGCTTAATACAACAATCAAACACTTTATTTCATGACATGTCAAGGGCATTATTTAAATTTAGTTGAACACTCTGCTGGTGAGTCCTGCTTTATAGCGACAATTTTTTTTCATGTTAATTCAAAAATTTTATTCATTTTTTTCAGCAAGTACAAATAGATGGAATCAGTTAAAATTACCTTTGACATTGAAATCATTAAGCAATACTAAATGGAGTGCTTATGCTAAGGCACTAGATGCAGTGCTAAAGGGATTCTCTAACATCACTGATGTTTTAAATAAAATTGGTTCCGATTCTGATGAAAACCTATTTCAAAGTAGAAGCAATTTCAATAAAAGATCATCTGTTAACCTTTGAAACTGGTATCCTCATTTGTTTTTGGAATTCAGTTTTAAAAAGATTTAATAAATGCAGTAAATGTCTTCAAAAGTTGTACCTTGACTTGAATGCTTTGCTGCTGCATCACTACTAAAACCCCTCAATGAATTTGTTTCAAATCTCAGAAAAGAATACAATAGTTTTGTAGAAAGTGGTAAAAAATTAACAGGGTGTGAAACACTCATTCAAAAAAGAAATGAAAGAAGGAAAAAATATGATGACAGAGTCAAAGATACTACTAATGAAATTTTTGATAAAGACCAGCATTTTAAAGTTAGTGTGTTTCTTGTATGTGTTGATGAATTAAAAGCACAACTAACATATAGGCAAAATGCTTATACTGAATTGGGTTATTTATTTGACTTTTTAAATAAATTGAACAATTTGACAGAAAATTTGGACAGCTGCTAATAACTTTGTTATTAGCAAATATTTGTTGCAAGTTGTATGCAAAGATCACATTAATATGGATTTAGCTGACAAATTATTACATTTAAAACAATTTTTTTTTATAAATGTGTCAGACTTAGTGAAAGATGTCTCAATTGATTTACAGATGTTTGAGTTAATGTAAATTAAAATAAGTATAAGGCCAAGGATTGAACAATGAGGAACCCCTAAGGTTACATAATAAGAAGAAGAGTGCTATCCATCAAGGACAACTTTTATACTATGATTGGAAAGGAAGGATTCAATAATCTTAAAGATGTTACTTGATACAGTGTAAGAAGTAAGCTTATGAAAAAGACCAGCATGCCAAACTTTATCAAACGCTTTAGAAATGTCAAGAGCGATGACCTTAACCTCTCCACATCTATCTAATGCAGAATAAAACTTTTCGGTTATTACTGTTAGCAAATGAAAAAGAAATTGCCAAACACTTTTAATCAGACCCTCAACCCTTACATGAACATATAAGACATAAGCAAATAACAAAAAAGTCAATAAGAGCTCTAGAAGATAATAAAGGTAAAATTACAATGAATGGAGAAGAGATTGCCTACATAATAACATTTTCATTCAGTATTTATCACAGATACACACGAACAATTGCCGGAATTTAAAAATCAAACAGAAGTCAAATGCAAAATGAATGAATTTTCAATAAAACAATCAGATGTCCCAGAAAAACTTGAAAACATGTTCAAATTGAAATCCAAAGGTTAAGATGGAAATTAACTCTTTGGTGTTAAAAAACTGTTCTCTCTGTGCCACTCATACTAATATTCCAAATATCTTTTGCTGAAAGTCAATTACCAGAATTATAGAGAAAGTTAAATGTCACACCAATTTTTAAAAAAAGGGAGCAAACTAACTATTGGCAGGTAGCACATCTGTCCTTTGTAAAATGTTGGAGAGTTTCATTCACAGTATCCAAATGAAGTATTGAATCAAAAATAACCTAATCACCAAAGATCAGAACAATTTTTTTTCAAAGGAAGGTTATGCTACTAGTTTATTAGAAGCAAGACACAATTTCCCTAGGTTATGCCACAGACGTCATCTATACTGGCTTTGCAAAGATGTTTGACAATGTATCCCACAAATGGTTCCTACATAAACTTGAAGCATATAACATATATATAATTCTACTCATGTGGACAGCTAACTGGCTAGCAAACTGACAACAGAGGGTAAAAATCAATAATCATAAATCAGATTGGAAAATAGTCACAAGTGGTGTTCCGCAGGGTACAGTGTTTGGACATCTTTTATTTATACTTTATACAAACAAATTACCAGACAATATAGCACATCAAATTAAGATATATGCTGAAGACAGCAAGATTTTAGGCATAATAAAGAATAAGGTAGATGCTGTAATGTTATAAATTGACATAGACAAAGTACTACATTAGTCTAAAAAATGGGTCAAGGATTCGAATGTAGGAAAATGCTAAGTGATGCATGTTAGAAGCCTAATTTTTCTGTTTCCTAATTAATCGAGCATTGTATAGTCTTGAGTCGATATGTTATTGACTCAAGACTACACAATGTTTGATCAATTTGGAAACAGAAAAATACTTGAAAAGACCAAAAATAAAGGTGATCTGGGAATATTCATTTCTTATATATTGAAAATGAAATATCAAGTTTAAGTGACAGCAGAAAAAACCTATTATGTGTTAGGTGTTCTCAAAAAAGCTTTTAGAAGCAGAGGACTTTCCTTGTGGAAAGTCTTGTACACAATATATGTCAAACCACATCTTTAGTTTTATTCAAGCCTAGTATCCCCATCTACAACAACATATATGTAGGCTTGAGTGTTTTCAACAAAAATAATCACAGAAATCAGCATTAAGTTATATGAGGAGAGGCTCTGTATCCTTAAACTGACAACTCTTGAAGAATGAAGAAATTAAGGCAATTTGATTCAGCAATTTCAAATTGTTCACGGTATCAAAAAAAGAGAATTTGCCGTACCACAGGTGTATGCCCCATCAATTTTGAAATACTGTCTACAAAGACACAACTGATGATAACTAAGTGAGTAGTTGAAAATTACGAAGAAGTATTTTTTCACTAATCATGTGGTAAATGCATGGAACACACTTCCATCAAATGCAGCCTACCCAGTCTCGGTAAATGCCTTTAAAGATCATATTAATGGAAAAAGAACAAATACACAGTGGGTATCTTTAAGCTATCAGCATAGTAGTGCCTGGTGTCGCACTACTTCATTAGAATTTTATAAATTTTTGGTTGTATTAAGTATTTAACATAAATTTCTAATTTCTCAATAAACAAAGTCAAATTCAAACTCACATTGTTTCAATGTTGCTTCAAGAAGATAAACAAAGGTATAATAAATGAAATCAAATTTTTATATAGGACAAAAATTTAATGAACATTTACTAAAAGTGCTAGTTTCAAAAGAGATTAAGATATGGTTTTTGCCTCAAAAGTAAGACTCTTCAACCATTGTGGTGTTTATTAGGTAAAATACAATAAAACATTTTTATATAGTCTTAAGTGTTAAAAAACTTTAAAGAAATAGTCTAAATGTTAAAAATTATTTTTAGATATTAACTTTTTTAAATTAAATTTTTAAATTTTAAAATTTTGGTATTAATTTAATCAAAATAACTAAAATAAATCTGAAATAAAAAAATAAAGTAAAAAATTTAAGTTTAAGAGAGAGACAGAGAGACAGACAGAGAGAGAGAGAGAGTATGAGAGAGAAAGAGAGAGAGAGAGAGAGTAAAAATAATTGTATTTTTAACAAAATATATATTATAAAAATTTAAATTTTGTTAAAAAACTTTTTTTTCTGATTCAGCATTTAAAAATAATGAATAAAAAAAAAAAAAATGTGATTGTTAAAGCTGTTATAACAATATTTATAAAACTTCTATTTTAAATTATAAAAACATATTTGAAATTAAAAAATAAAAATTTGATTTTTTCCCAATCAACTGTGATAAAAATTTAAAGAAGCATTTAAATTAAAAACATTTAAATTAAAAAAATAGTGATTAAATTAAAACATATATAATTAAAAGTTTTAAAAAAATATCAGGCTTATATACTTTTCTGCAAATAAAATGTAAAAAAAATAAATCATGTAAATACCACTCACCTATATGATGTTAAAACAATTTTATTTAAAACAACAATTAGAATTGAACAAACAGCATAAAATATAGCAGAAGTAATCTTCAAGGCTAGTGCAGCCATATTTGTTTATGTATAATAAATACTAAAAAAAAAAACATTTCGACTTCAAAAATAATTTATTCTCAGAAAAGAAATTTTAATCCAAAATGTTTTTTACCTAATTTTCAAAATATTAAAACTATGTGTACAACTCTTAAATCACCAATACAAAAACCTACCTTTAACTTTTATCAACTTGCTTTTAATAAATGCAAGCACTTGTTATCTTCTTCAATCCAATAGTTTAAACCTGTAAATAATAACTAATTTTTGTATTACTTAGATAGCAACTCCAAAGCAAAACGAAAAACATTTGACATTTGACAAAAAGCACATAACTTTCATAAGCTTTACTCTCTTATATCTTTTTTTATAATTAAACTAGAACCTTGACATTTTTTTGCATCAATTAATTTGACTCGATTATATGTAGAATGTAGTAAGTTTTACAATGCTTCACTTATATACCACTCGTGTCTTGAGACCATTACTGATAAAAAAAAACTGCCTCAAAATCTTACTTTTTGAAAGTAAGATTTCTTAAGCACCAAAACACATCTAAATCGTATGAAATTTTCTATATATATTTAAAAAGGGACAAAAAATCTAATGGGATGTTAACTTTTTTTAACATTTTGACATAATTTTTTAGTTTTTAGCATTTAAAAACTTTAAGGTTAATATATATATAGAAAAAACAGCGTTTTTTAAAAGAGTCCATGTGAAAATGGCAATTATAGCCTTTCCTCAATTTAAAACAATTACTTATTTATGTTTCCTTAAACATTTAGTACTTAGAATTATTTTATATACAGATATATTTGGCATATAGAAATTATGATATAATGCTTTTTTCCCTTTGCATATTGTTTGTTTTGATTTTTGATGCTTTTTTATTTCTATTTTAGTACCAATACACAGCAAATATTCCATACTAAGGACGATTTAAGGAAGTTTTTACAGCACAAAACTGCAATAACTTTAGGATCACTAAACTTTTAAAGTTGAAAAACCTCTTACTTTATAAGTTTTATTTAGCTCTATACAAAAAAAAACACCTGTGGAATAGCTAACTTAGATAATTACTTTATATCAGTATTCGAACTATCAGTAAAAGCTCTTCAAATGTTAAAAAATGTTGGATATAGACAGTGACATGGGGACAGTTACCACGGTAAACTGTGGTTTATACCGTGGTAATGGGGGCAGTTTTAAAATAAGTGAGGGTAATACTGCAGTAATGGGGACAATGTTTGCAGTAATACCACGATAACAGTAATGGCTTTTTTTATACATATTTCAAAAATTAATTTTCAATAGGACTTCTTTGCTTTTGAATAAATAAGACATAGAAAAACTAATAATTTCAACTAAACACAACTGATCACAGAAACTATGGATAATCTCCTTTTTATTCATGGATTAAAAAAATATTAATTTAAATAACATTTTTGTTTCATATATTTTTTTTGTTAATCACAAATGAATAAGAATGAATATGAAATATATTTCTATGTAAAAGCTTTACTTTTTTTAGTATTTAACTATTTGCTGTTCTTTTTAAAATTCCGTTTATTTTTACAATTAATATCAAATATATTTTTAAATGCTAATTTAATTACAGTATTATAATAAATAGACATATTTATGTTTTCTAAATTAGATTATGTTTTTCCATTTTTTATTAATACATTTATATTTGTCTTCTTTATGTTTTACAAAATGTTTAAAAAAAAATTAAAAATGTATATTAGTATTAAAAGTAATATTACAATATGTTATAATATTTGATAGAAATAATAATTTCAATTGTGGGGAAAGTGCGGGGAAACCTAAAAGGAGTGCGGGGATGGAGTGTGGACTACTTCTGCAGTAGCAGGGTGGGGATAGGAACATAATTTGATGAACGAGGTGGGGATGGGGACAAAAACACATCCCTATGTCACTTTCTAATTGTATATAAGTCCTTGCATTTATTTGGATATAAATCCTTCCATAAATCAAATCAAATCAAATCAATCAAATAATAACTGTATATATAAACAATCGTGTGGGGCATTTACAGACAGTTACAAACTGATGACGTGTAAAGACCTATGATGGTATAAATTATGGCATAATAATAATAATAATAATGATAATAATAATAATAAGTAATAAGGGGCATTAATTAATTAAATGTCCTTATTTTGGTAAGCATTCCGTTTACTCGACTTAGTTTGATATGGATTTAATTTGTTGAATGAACAAAAAAATTTTATCCAACAATATGCCAATATAATTGAATTTTATCTATAATATTTAGTTTTTGACCACTAATTCTAAAATTAAGTTTTTTGGTAACTTTTTTGTCTTGAGGTTTAAATAGAACAATTTTTTTTTTTTTTGACATTCAAAGATATTTTTTTAATCGCAACCATTGAACCAGTGATGCCATGTCATAATTTAGGTACTTATTTAGCTTTTCTAAAGACTTATCTATAATTAGGAGGTTAGTGTCATCAGCAAAATGATAAAATAATAAAATGATTAAAAAATGATAAAAAAAAATTATCTTTTATTAAAAAAAACATTTTTTTTTTAAAACTGATAATTTTAAGTATAAAATAGCTTGTCACAAAAATTTAACAGACTTTACTTTTTATCACCGTCTTATGCCAGTTTAAATATTTATACTTTGATTTATTTAATTTACCTTGTATTATATGTTGTAAACACAAATTTACAAGAAAGTATGAAATGAAATGAATCTGATTTTCCTGTCGAGTTTCAAACTCATTGCCAATCATTAAATAGATAGCTTTGTAAATATAGATGAAACCAAGACGTTGATTTTCCCTTAGTGTTGTGAATTCTTTTCCGATTGTAAACAAATTATAAATAAAACCTAAACGTTGCAGAATAGTTTTGCGAGCTTGAAAATTTTTTTTCGGACTGACTCGGACAATATATACTGCATACTTAAGCGATTTTTATGTAACCGTTGGGGATGTTCATAAAAAAAAGTAAAAAACGCAAAAGACAATTTTAATAAGATTGAAAGCAGGTTTGTTTGTTTTTTTTGAAACCAAGTTATTTAAATCTGATTTTTTTTTAAGTTTAACTCGTTTTTTTTTTTTTGTGATTTGTTTCAGAAAATTAATATAAATCATGTTTGTATTTTATTCTTTCGAAAAAAAAAAGAAAGCTAGATGAATTAGGTTGACGGAATAATTTTGCAGCTTTTTTTCATTTTTCATTGTTAAAAAGTTAAAAAGCTGTTAAAAAATCTTAGACTAGTCTACATCAAATGGTTTTCAATGCTCTAAAATAGCGATTTTGACCTTTTGAACTCAACCAAGAGTGTCTCTAAATGCACTTTGTGAATCAAACAATTCTTAATCTTCTTTATTAATTTTTATTTCAAAAAATTTAATCAAGATAACTTTTTTGAAAAGTTCGAAGCCTCGGTGTTTCGCAAAAACAACAAAAAAAATTGCCTTCAAATTGCTTTTTGACACTTAGTCCGTCATTCAGCAACACACGGTCATAAGCAGCGCTTTTACCAAATTTGTTACAACGCTGCTTATATATAAAAATGATGCAAAAAAAAGAGTAATTGGATCCAGGAAGTGCACTAAACCGATAGTCGAGCCTGTCTTCTATCTAAAGAAGACCATAGTCTGTGTTTGAAGAGATGCGGAGCGAATGGTGCAATTTTCCCAAAAAACATTGAGATATGTTTAGAAGAAACGTCACGTTCAATAACAAGCTTTTCATAGGCCAGCTACATAAAAAAAAGAGATTCTTTGACTGGCGAGATCAATTTATACTACTTCACGGCAACTTCAAGCCGTATACTACATAATTCGTCTAAGCTACACTCCAAAAGCTCAAATGGGAGAGTTTAGGATCCTCCGTATTTTCCGGAACTTCCGCCAATTGACTATGTTGTTGTAAGTTTATTTTCCGCTACCTGTATAATCCTATTAGTGGCTTTAACTTTAACAATAAAAAGTTATTTATGCAGCTATGGTGTAGTATTGAATTAAAGCCAGTTTTTAAACCAATAGGTATAACAACTTTGTGTTCTTACCAGGACTTGATTTAAAAAAAGTAGAGAACATAAATTGTATCAATGGGTAAACTTTAAGATTAAGCTGCATAAACTACAACTTTGTTTTTTGTGGTTATTGAGGTGTTCCCAGAAGTCTTTACGGTCTTATTACCAAGTCCTGCCAAAGAGCATTTAACTAGGAAATTCACGCCTTCTTCCTTACCAATAACACTTATCGACCCATATCGTATATTGCTTGTCGGTCCCATTTGGTATATTGCTACTAGCAATAGTTATGATATATCTTCATACAAATGGAGTGGTCCATTTACTTATACTGCCATCTTCTACGATTCTTTTACTTATGCTGCTATTTCTACGATCTATTTCATCACTGAGACCGGCCGAGAACTACATAAAAACCACCTCAAATTTAAACTTAATGTTACACTATTGGCTTCCGTCATAAATTTTACCTAATGACAGCTAACTTTAAACAGATGCAACAGACTCAGAGTTATGACGTCTTTGAACTCACTCTTAATAACAATTGGATACTAGTGATCTTTTAACAACATATCTACTATAGACAGTTACTATTAGGTACTCTCAAAGGCCTAAAAGAGCTTGCTTGTGATATATTTAGTTGTGCAACTGAGTACATCTCATATATATATATATATATATATATATATATATATATATATATATATATATATATATATATATATATATATATATATATATATATATATATATATATATATATATATATATATATATATATATATATATATATATATATATATATATATATATATATATATATATATATATATATATATATATATATATATATATATGCTTTTTTTCATAAAAATAATGTTTCTTGCATTTAAAATTAAATACAAAAATTACGCTTATGAAACACCACAAATATAAAAATAGACAAAGATAATTACAATACAAATTAACAGAGTACGTAATTGCGTTGTAAATCATAATTATTTAACTTTCTTTTGAACATTGATAAATAAGGAGAATCAACAATGTGAGCTGGTAAGGAATTTCATAATTTTACAGTTCTTTTGCTGAAGAATATATTTATATATAATAAAAATATATATAATAAGAACATATCTCCTGGAAACCCTACATAAACTACATTAACACAAAAATATCAAAGAACATTGGTTTCCTATAAGCTTTCTAAGGCAAGACCATTTTTGTCACAAAAAAGTCTAAAACTTGTTTACTTTTCATTTATACATAGTTACTTAATGAATGCCAATATAGCATGGGGCAGTGCCCACAGCCTAAATTAGAACCACTTTGCCTACGTCAAAAATACCCTTCAAGACTAGTATACAACAAAAATAAATTTGTTCATGCTCAACCCTTATTGGAACAAATGAACGCACTAAATAAATTTCAAATAAATATTTTTCAAAATATACTTTTCATGTTTAAGTATAAACTAAATCTGGTTTCAGAACATTTTACAGCACACTTTTTTAAAAGCAATATAAATACAATACAAGAGCAACAGGCAATTTTAAGATACCGTTTGAAACAACAAGACTCTCAAAATTCTCATTTACATATCGTGGTCCCTATATATTTAACAATTTAGTTTCCAGAAACGAATTACTATTAAACCTAAACAACGAACACTCTCTGAAAATAGAGCTAAAATCTACAATAGTCAAATTAAACAACTAAAAGATATTTTTTTTAAATATTAATAAAAAAAATTAAAAAAAATGTAGCTTAACTTTTAATAAAAATCGATAATAAAAAATAATAATATTAATAACAAGGTATATATGTACCACATACAAATATACCACGTATGCAACTAATTTTTATGTGTATTACACGTCCAGAAAAAGGTACTCAATGACATGACTGACTTAAGTCTTCTGCGAGCTTTCTACAACTACTAACAAGTAATTCTTCTAATCCTTCTTACACAAATTTCGTTTTTATCATATTTATAGACAAACATTAGTTTGAAATGTGGTAAATAACTTATATTCAAACATCTAAACACTTTTCCAAAAAATTAGCTAACATATTTTTATTTATTGTATTATTTTATTTTAACTGGAATAATATAGTGATATATTTATTACTAAATTGTTGTAATTAGTGTTTATTTTAATCGTGTCTCGGAGTTGTATGCAACTGTATTTTTGTTTACTTTGTATATTTCGAACTTTATGTTTATGATATTTATGTTTGTAAATCTTTACCGTCTATCTGTGATTGGTTACTTGTAAATATTTTGTAGTTGTAAAATAATCATGTTAAAAAAAAGAAGAAGAAGAATTTACGACATATATACATACATACATATATTGCGTGACAAGTTTGTTAGCGGGAGTTAATCCAGTATTGTAGTGAGAGTTGGAAAAGGTAAAAAAATTGGAAAAAGTCGATGAAATTGTGTACAACTATGTATACCATAACAAGATCAAATTTAACTCTACGGTATTCAAGAGAATCAAGATTTAGAAAAATTAGTCTCGACACGTAATCAGAATAAGAAATATGGCATCTTTTACAGGTAATTCTGCTGAAATATCTCTGAATATTTTCGTTAAAACGAATATCTTTTAGAAGATAAGGACTTCACACTGGGGTAGAAGGCTCTAAAATAGGTCGCATATAAATATCATAGGCTTTTAGTAAGAGATGAAAATTGTTACTGACAAAATTTTAAAAAGTAAGTAAAGACGACAGTAGGCTTTTTCGGAGAATTTTGTATCAGATGATACAGTAATATCAATATCATCAATACAGTTAACAGTATTTATCGCGGTGTCGGGACAAAATGAATACGAGGGAACAGGTAAAGAACACTTCCCAAAGTATATTTGGAAACATTTATTTAACGCTGTTTTTAGTTGCCAATAAGCTGTTCAATCGTAAAAATTTTTTAAGGAATTTACAAGGTCTGCGTTAATACTTATGCTTTTATCTCTCTCTTGGTATAATTTGATATCATCTGCAAACAGCTTAATTCCACAGTCACCCTCAATTATCAAGATTATATCGTTGATAAATATTAAAAATAAAGTGGGAACCAATACAGTTTCTTGAGGTATTCTACTCTTGACAGATACGTAATTTTAGTAAGAGTTACTTATGCAGATACATTGAGATAAGTCAGTTAAAAAGTTTGTAATCCAGTATAGGAGTTCGTGCTTAATGCCGTAAGATTTTAATTTGTGTAGTAATTTGGGATGTGAGAATAAATCGAAAGCCTTTTCGAAATCAATATAGATAATATCAACTACGTAAAGTATGTTAATAGCTGTGGTCCATTCATTTAGAGAAGCTAACATTTGTGTACATGTGGATCTGTGTTTTAGGAAGCTAAACTAATTGATAGAGATAAAGTTATTCAGTAGAAAATAACTTTTTAAGCTTTTGTTGATAATAGACTCCATTACTTTGCAAATAATACAAGTAATAGAAATAGGTCTGTAGTTAGAAGGTAAGGAAGTGTTACTTTTTTGAAGATCTTTAATTAAACACTCTAACTTTGTATATCTCCAGAAATTCATTATATGAGGTCTTTAATTAAAGACTCTAACTTTGTATATCTCCAGAAATTCATTATATGAGGTCTTTAATTAAACACTCTAACTTTGTATATCTCCAGAAATTCATTATATGAGGTAACTTAATTATAGAAAAACATATATATAAACATATATAGCAATGCAATATATGCATTGCTATTAGAGAAAAAATCATTTGTATTATATACTATGCGGATCCGGATCCGAAACTCATTCTTAGTAAAACAAAAAAAGGAGATCTTAAGAGCCTTGCAGTCAGAGTTGCTTTTTATTGTTGTACAAAAACTGTTCGCG